AATATAGCAATGTTTCAGTCTCTATTTGTTTTATCTAGGATAGCTCTTTGAAAGTTAGGTGAGATGATTTTTTGATAATTCAACCGGAATGTAAATTTCGCCAGGCGAAAGTTCATGAGCTAAGGCTACCTATCTAATATGCATGCAAGTCTCTGTCTTTGTGTTTGACGTCAGTGGGTGGGATTATTGAAATTAACGAAGGGAATTTAAATGTAATTTAAATATCTATTAGTCAATTTTTTTAAATATAAATTTACAGTTTTATTTTACAATGAAATGTAAATATAAGGAATCCCTGTCTAGTTTGTTGGGAATGCTTAAATAAGGATAAATAAAAATACAATGTTTTACCATTAAAGCACTACAATAATTGTTTGGCACTATATAAATATTGCATGTAGTTGAGTGTAACATTGAAAATTTTCACCCCTCGAAAACCATTGTCAACCGAGGCGCATATTTATTATATTATACTGAATGTTTTATACAAATACATATAACATTGAACCGTGCGCGCATAAATTCGATCTGCGCAGTCGCAATTTTTTGGAATATTACCCGTCGTCAAGCAATGTCGACTGTTGGTACGCAGCAGGGCGTGGCTTCATTATTCAGCGGGTAATAGTGTTTTTTAACAAATGTTTCTCGACGAATCAGATTCAAGTAGTTTACATGAAAGTATTATTAAGATTTAGCACAGTTGAGTTGCATAAACATCAAATTGCATTTAAGTATGATAACATTGAAAGTACCAATATAAGTATCAATATAATGGAAATAATATGTTTTATAAATAAGTACAGAAATATATCACTTTCATGTTCTAAAATGCCCTTTCGTAAGATAAAACTCTTAACTTCTTTCTTAAAAGTACTATTTCCTCAAGTAAATGTATGCATTATATATATTATTATAAAAAGTGTCTGCTTGACATGTTTTCGCACGAGGCATTGGCGTCGGAAGAAAATTGAAAGTGTGGGGGGGGGGGGGCTAAGTGTAATAAAAAATTTTTTTTACCTTCAAAACCTGACAAGCAAAAAAAAAAAGGGAAAGTCCATATCCAAAAGGCGAAAATCCTATTTCGTGGGGGGGGGGGGGGGGGGGGTATTCTTACGAACTTTAGTAACTAAATTTTTCTCCAAACACCAAAACTTTACCCCTTTTTAGCCTATATTGCGAGGTGTCTGTGGAAAGTGGAGGGGGGGGGGGGGGCTAAATGAAACAAGGTTCAATGTCTATACTAACTATATATTTGGAATGCTCTAGCCCCCCCCCCCGGTTCCGACGCCTATGCGGCGTATAAATATTCTTACTCAATCTTCACCTCTATACAGGGTTTATATACCGCCCAGTGGACATGATACGTCTTTAAGCATGCTCTTTGCACGATCCATTTTGAAAACAATGCAGACTTTTTTATATCAGCAAGTTGATGAAAAAAAAAAAGGATATCAACAATCGCATTTAAGTTATCATTTCGCAAATTCTGTGGTCGATACAATGACCAAATACAATATTGATCTTTGGATCAAATGCTGTTTTCCATACAAATAGTTTGGCTCTGTTTTACACCAATTTCTAGAAATTTTTCCGTTTACTCGAGTATGACAAGGAGTACACGGAGGGTGGGACCGGTCAGCAGGGGATGCTTACTCCTCCATGACACCTTATCCCACCTCTGATGTTTAAGAGGTCCGTGTTTGCTCTGCTCCTGATTTACTGGCGTCGGAATTTCATAAATACTATGGATTCTGTTGAAAATTACGCCAAACGATGGGCCAGATATGAAAAAGATGTTGACACTTTGTCAGAATGGATTAAATGTATCAGATCCATATTAAAATGGCGAATTAAAAGATTGAAAGGCAATATGAAAACCATCTATCCTTCTGTATTCAAAAATCCAGAAGTGAAAATAGAATTAGATATAGATTACATGATCAGTACGCACTGGTCCCTGCTGACAAAACAGGTAACAACAGTGTCTTCGTTTGTAAGGCTCATCATTTAAATTGTATTTTAGAAGAACTTGGATTTAATTCAACAAGTGGTAATCCAATTTATGCTCATACTTCCCTTTCTTAGGAAGAAATTCTTCAAAATCATATGTCAGTTTTGAATATTTTTAATATCCCGAGGAACCCATCGTCACAAACCACGGCCAAAATGGCTTTATGCAGACTCCGGACCGTGGCTTGAGACGATGCGAGGAACCAAAATGAATTTGAACTTCCATATACAGTGTATATATTGAATTCCGAACCTTTATAAGAATCCTGATACCATACGGGTTCCAGTAAATGTTCAACCAAGTCTCTCTCTTTACTCCTCACTAAGATATTGACAATAGTGAAGGAAAAACTTCAAGAGTGCTGTACAACAATATATTCAAGAAGTGTTGTAAATCAGATGTGGATACTCAAAAATTCCAAAGAACTTTTGGACAATTTGAAATCACAAGATTTTACCAAAATCAACAGCTTAAAAACTTACGACTTTTCAACTTTATACACAACCATTCCCCACGATTAATTAAAGTTTAGGCTTTTTGATATCATTGACAGCTGCTTTTTCGATAAAAATAGAACTCGCAAATCATTGGTCATTTGAAAAAAAATTTTTGTTAAAAAGCATTCTGATTGCACACACAAGTACTCTGAAGTTGATGAAAAAAATAGTTTCTGGTTGACTATATATTTGTGGCTTTTGGAGACCAGTTTTTCCAACAGTTTATTGGAATTCCCATGGGTACCAATTGCGCTCCGTTATTAGCAGACCTTTTTTTGTATTCATATGAAGCAGACTAGTATATCGACGACGTCAATTAACAATGCTTATTAACAATTATTTTTTATGCATCAACAATAGTGGGAAACAGATAAAATGTTTCCCACTATTGTTGATGTCCCTGGTATACTATACTGACTAGACAGTGATTCCTTATATTTCCATTTCATTGTGAAATAAAATTGTAGATTTAGACTTACACGAGGATTCCCATCTCAATTTCAATAGTCCTCACCCACTGACGTCAAACACAACGGCAGCTGCACGAGATTTTCATGCATATTTGGTCTCCTTAGCCTTAGACACAGAGACAGATGCGCACGAGATTTGCATGCATATTAGGCCTCCATAGCTCCTTACCCATTAACCTGCCTAATTTACATTCCGGCAGCATTATCAAGAAATTAACTCCGCTAACTTTCAAAGATTTATCACAGAGAGAAAAATTAGAAATGGAAATATCAATTAATAATGGTAATTTCCATTCCTATGTCGATACGATATATCCTGGTGGGCTTGAGATAAAAGATATCGCAGAGTCTGACACATCTTTTTCATACTTAGATATTTTACTTGTAAAAGACGTAAATGGTAATATAACAACCAAGCTCTATGATAAACGTGATGACTTTAACTTTTCTATCGTCAACTTCCATTACTTATGCAGCAATACACTGTCATCACCTGCAAACGGCTTTTATATATCTCGGTTGATTCGATACGCAAGATCATGCTCTACATATGAACAATTTCTAAAACGAGGTAAATTATTGACAAAGAAGTTGATGAAACAAGAATATCAACAGTCTCGTTTAAAGTCATCATTTCGTAAGTTCTATGGTCGATACATTGACCTTGTCAGCAAATACACTTAATTTTATCATAAAGTCAAATGCGGACTGACGTTTTTAATACTAATTGTTACTCCAATATCTCTACACTGAATTGATGACGGATTTTTCCGTTATTTCCCGATCATGACAGGGAACACAAGGCGGGTGTGACCGGTCAGCAGGGGATGCTCACTCCTCCATGACACCTGATCCAATCTCTGATGTCTTGGAGGTCCGTGTTTGCTCTGCTCCTATTTTGTATTGTTTTATGGACTTTGATATTGCATACTGTTTGTTATTTTCATATCCTTTCCAATAACTTCAAAGAACTTGAATAGCATTGAGAGGCATAAAATGAAAATTGTTGCATGAAAAGATTCCAATTTCAAGCTTTATTTTGAGATTTTTTAAAAAATTAAATTATAAATTAAAGAGTAATCCTTCCTAGTTGATGATCGAATATCCTTAACTGAAGGAAGAGTAGCATTTGGAAAAACCATTGACAGACAGCTGTATGGACGACAGTCACCATACTATCGCAGAAGCTGTTCTAGTCTCTGATTAGTACAGCTAAAATAACATAACACAAACCACTGCTCTTTATTCCATGAAATTCAAAATGTTAGAAGATATCAGTAATTTTTTTTAATTCCAAGGGACATAAATTTTGAAAGAAATAATGTATATTAAGAAATCACCTATATTCTTCTTACATTTTACGCAGTAGCCTTGTCAAAATTTGGAATGGGATTGTGTTGTCTTGTATATCTGCTAAAAAGTTCTCGAATATCAATTTTTTTTAAAACAAAAACTCACTTCCCTGAACTTATACTAGTGTCTTATACAGTGGCCCAATCATACTTTAGAAGAATTCTAAATGTATCCTGTAATAAATATGCGGAATTTCAACCTGGGCGCAATTGGAGTCAAAAACATTTTGAGGTCACTTTTTCACTATTTGTGGCTTCTTCCCTTGTTACCCAAATACGTTACATGGGACAGGAACTAAATTCACATTTTTGTTCCCCTGTTGCTATTATATGTAGAATATTTTGGTTAAATTAATTTAGAGATTCTGATGAAGAAGCTAAAATGTTCAAATATGAATGCATATAGGACAAAAAGGATAGCAATAGGCGATTCATGACCTAAAAAGGTGAAAAGGGAAGGAAAACATCTGTTAGTGAAAAATCTACTTAATGGCTATTGGGGGATTGGATATAAAGCAACCTCCCCCCTACATGTATTAACCAACATAAGTTAACTTCTGAATAATTGTATAGCTAAACACAGGAAACAGTGTTGTTTTGCCTCCAATTGTCTTTGTAATGCCACAGCTCTAAAATAACACACCTTTGTGTAAGTACTGTAACAAAGACAAAACAGTAACAGCTTTATTTAAAACAATTTGGTCTTTGACAGCTGACATAATCTCATACACAAAAACCTGACCTCTTCAAATACGTCCATGTTATTTCAGCAAACCATTTATCTACCATACCACCTTTAACAGAAGTATAATATCAAGTTAAATGAAGTGGAAAACCAAAAGTTTATATGTAATCATATCAAAAATATATTGTACATTCTGCAAACACAGAAATAAAAAAAAACATGCGTATATGAGCAAAGTCTCTACTGTATAATTACACTGAAATAAGACAAATCACACATGGATAAAAAGGATACTAGTATAGGAGTTTATAATGTTCATTTCATTTTCAAGTGTTCAACCATCAAACAAAATTTACTGTACATAAGAAAGTAGACCTTTTAAAAAAAATTCCATTTCATCATCAAACCTTTTTTAAAAATTCTAAATAAATGTGACATTTTTTACCAATGAAACCCATTGATTACAGCTTACAGTAGTTACTCCCTAGCTTCAGAGTACATGTACTGATTTCTCAGTTCCTTAAAATGGCTGATTAACAATGTATTGTACTGTAAATCTAACATTTATGATATTCAAAGGTTTAACATACATATATGGTTAACTCATTGTAAAACTTTTTACACAGAGCAAGAGTAATTGTAATAGCAAGTTTAATAATCAACAAACCTGAGAATTTACATAAAAAGCATCAATTCACCCTTTTAAACCTTATTTTAGCTTTACTAGCCTCTAACTTTATTGCTTGTAAGCAGTTCACAAAACTAACAAAAAAACATATCTTACTTAACCCATGTCTCAGTTATACCAAACCTCTGTCTTATTACACCTAGATTAAGGTGCTTAAGATTATCCTTACAGATAATTCCAGGATTTCAATGATCACTGATAAAAATAATTAACAATCTGAAAGAGTTTAACCAGGTACAAGTATATTAAAAATTTACACAATCTACAGTCTCATTAATGAAATGATAACTATGAAAATTTACATGCATTAAAAATGATTCAATGACAAGGTTGGTTTTACAAAATGAGGTATGATGGATACATATTAGAATTAAGCCAGAAAGCTTAAATGTGAACAGAACATTAAGTTCACTACTCCATTTACATATTCCTGCTACAGTTTCAGTAAATGGTTTTTCTTTTAAACAAGAGGCCCCATGGCTAAAATACTTTCAACTCACCACCGTATTAATGACAAACTCTGGTAATTGTGTTTGACACATTGTAACCTTCATTTTTTGCAGATTGCTTTATGTCCTAAAAGTCCCTGAGCCCATACCCTAAACAAAACTGACTCTAACTTTACATTAGCTAGGTTGCTTGTATGTCAATGTAAATCATTGAGATTCTGCTGTTCTTGACAAGACTTAAATCTCCAATCATCAAGGAGGCTTTTACAAACAATATGCCTCTTATCTGGTCCAGTTGCAAAGAAAAATTAAATGACCCCAATTTTTTTTTCAAATAAACCTAATCATATCTCCTTGAAAAGGGGCTTTGACCCTTATTTTGAACTAATTTCAATTTCTTTACTTGGAAATTTTCTTTGTCGACTGTCAAGTTTGGTTGTAACTGGCCAAGTAAAATTGGAAAAGATTAAAATCATAAGTATTTACATACAAACATGAATACATTCAAACACTGGACAATTGCTGATCAGAAAAGCTCATCTGAGCCACTGGTTAAGGTAAGTTAAAAATTAATAATGAAAAAGCTAAACATGAAATTATATACACTTTACAGTGTAACATATGAACTTAAGTAGCTGCATTCCTTGTAATGTGACACACAAAGGTCACCTTGAATATATATGTACATGTAGCACTAGACGTAAGTACAATGTTTAATAGGAAATATGAAAGAAGTAAATACTATGAACTTAAATAAATTTATTTTTCCTTGTTAACCCTTGAGTTTCCAATTTCTCAAAATTTTGAGACTGTGAAAGCAACAATATGCCTTTTCTATATTACAAGTGGGAAAAAAGGGTGTATAACATGGTTCTGAATGCCATTTACTTTTTTGATATATGACAATTGACTTTTACATTAAAGAAAACACTACACTACATTAAAACTACTGCCCTTCAATAATTCCACCTCTGATGTAAGTACAGGATTTTATAGTATCACAGTAGAGGTTGGTTGCTCTAAGATGCAAGCTCTTAACAAATCTTCAAAATCAATATTCACAAAACTAATACAAACTATAGCAACATAACTCTGAAAAGTGAACATGCCTAATAAAGTTCATATGTTGCCTTCAGCAAAATTAATGTAAGATAACTATATCTACAGCAAAGTTAGGTATTTCTTTTATGAACAAGAACTAACACATCTAACAACTGAACATAACATGAACTAATGACAGGAAAAAAGGCCAGTCAGATTTAAATCTATTTTTTCATATAATTTTTCAAACTTGAATACTTAACCAGTAAAGATTTTCACCTATTGATGTAATTGTAATTAAATCATCGTTAGTAGTTAATGAAATTGCATAATTCATTCATTGGCACACACTAGATTTTCCACATAGCTTCATTTTTTAAGTGACTTCATAAAATTATCCAAATTGTATTCACTTTCATATTCTTTTTCATCCCATAAATCTCCTAGATTCTCTAGGATAGACTTGATGCTCTCCCTTTTGCTTGGATCACTACTGCCACTGCCAGATGGTGCTATTATTTGTCCTTTAGCTTGATCATCTAGTGAAAACAGATCTAACAATTGATCTGTACCCATGGTTTGCAAACTGGAGTTATCTTGACTAATGATTGTGTTGGCTATTGTCATCTTGAATTTCTGGAGTCTGGAAGAGCCAAAAAAATGTATCAAATTCATTAATTACTACAATCATTTAGAGAATTATTTAACCATAAAATTATTTTACTGATCTTGTATAGTTTGTATAGCACCTTTTTTTCCTCTTGATAAAGTTGGATATTTGCCTACACATTATGAAACAATCATAAATTAACAGTCAATATAAAGGCTTGGGCAAATATCACAACAAAAAGCAAGTAGTCTGACATTCTTTATTAAATTACACTCTTTAACAGTACTCACTTACATGTTTAAATTATAGATAGATATATGTATTTTGTCATATTTTTATGAACATTTGACAACAGATACCAACCCCATTATCTTCTCCTCCAGAGTTCCCCTGGTGATCAGCCTGTACACATTGACAACTTTCTTCTGTCCGATTCTATGGGCTCTGTCCATGGCCTGAAAGTTCAACATTTGTTTTATTGACTCTTTAATCAGAGATCACAATGTTATAAAGTCTAGGCATGATAGGATTAAAACAAAAGACTCGAGAGATAATGGTGACAGAACCTACAAAGTGTGTTTTGTGTGTAATTTTTTCAATACCTGAAGGTCCTTCATAGGATTCCAGTCATGTTCCACGAATATAACAGTATCAGCCCCAGTCAGATTCAAACCCAGCCCTCCAACATGTGTCGTCAACAGCAAGATGTCAATTGATGGATCATTGTTGAACCTATGTGACAAAAATTTACATATGTACAGACAGGCCAGGCTGTGAAACATTTATTTCTCTACAAACCCAAATTAATTGAGGATTAAAATAAAACTAATTGTAATAAAACTTAGAGTGTAAAGTATTCTAAACAGAGAATTTCATATTGTTACCTGTTGACGATTTGTTGCCTGGAACCAGCTGGAATACTGCCATCTAGTCTTAAATAGGTCACCGAGGGCATCTGTGATCTACAGAATCAAAACATTTTACAAGTACAAGTTTAATATAGCACAGAATGGTATGGTGTAACTGTTACAATGTTATGGGAGTCTATTTCAGATAAATATTTAAAAGTTCATTTTCCAGAGACTGAAAATACATCTGTATTCATCTACTCACTTGAGCAAGTCCTCTTCTACAATGTTGAGCATACTCTTGAGTTGACAGAACAGCAGAACTCGGTGTTGATTTACCACAGGTAGATCTGTATCCAGCTGTGAACCAGAACCTGAGTGTGACGGCATGGCAACGCCAATACCACAGTCAATCAGCAGTTGTCTGAAGTGAACAAATATTTTATAAACAAGCTGAATAATTACACATATGGAAAGAGCAAATATAGATTGCTTTCTCAAATTTAGAAGGATTTTTATGCATTCAGACTTATCTTACTTCAGAGCATTCAATTTTGGTGCATGCTGACAATCCCGCAATGAAGAGTTACTGGACTTGAGTTGTTTTGTGACCTCTTCATACTTGGGATGACTTGTTGTTAATACCAGTGCAGGATGGTTGCAGAGTTTCCTCAGATACTGCAAGGCCTGAATAAAAAAGAAGATTGAATTTGTGAAAACAATTTCCTTATATCTATATTAAAACTGATTTTCTCTCAATATGACACATGAATGTGTAAAATATCAGATAAACTGTATTTGTTTTGTAATATTCTTAAGAGATATAAATCCAAACACTATTTGCATAGTTGATCCAGAGAAAGTATTACATAAACTCATAAAAATAATTTATATGCATTGAAGTTTTTCAAGCTTACCTGGAAAACATGTGTAGCCCCAGCGCTCTTTCTTTCCTTACTGTCGGAACTCTCTAATATTGTCACTGAATCTTCAAGTCCCTGCTTGGCTCGAGATTTGGCAAAGTCCTCATAAAGCTGAGTCTGAACAAAATGGAAGCATTATAAACCATCACAAAAAATTATGCTTTATATTAAAAATAAGCTAATTTATTATCATTTTCCTTTATGATTTAAGTCTGAGATTTAGTTGGCTGCTAATAATGGATTACCTGTAGAGGACTGAGATCACAGTAGTAATCCTGAATAATTTTCGGTGGAAGATCCTGTAAAACGTCTTCCTTCAGACGCCGCAGGATAAATGGAAGAACCTGTCTGTGAAGAGATTCCATGGCCAAAGCACCTATAATGGGGAGAAAATTATACACCATCTTCAAATGTATACAGTTTAATGTTGGAACCAAAATATAATATAAAATATAATATAAATGTAGCAATGAAATACAATGGACAGTCTGATTACAAACTGCAACCAAACTAGATCTATGATTTCACTCAAGACACTTATAAGTGAGTAGATCTACATTTATTTCTTTTGTTAAAATTAGTTGAGATTTGCAAAGTGATTTTTTGAAAATGATAAAACAAAATGATTTGGTTACCTGCTTCTTGTTCCTTAGAAGTGCTTTTGGCATCCCTGCTTCTCTCGTCATATGATTATTGGATCAACACATTTTGCCATACCATTTGATTAAACAGAACTCGCGTTAGCCAAAATTAAAAGCAACATGTTTTGTTGAGCACGGTTTGAAACTTTGTCAAAAGTATACACATTTTTGTTATTTCAAACACGGTTTGTTGCGTCTTCTCCATTCAAAACACATATCCACAATACTTAACACCTGGTTTGCTCACAATTGTACAAAGATAGCTTGAATTAGAATGTTATTGTTTTCAAATTCTTTGATTTACCATGCAACTTTATTATTTCTGCAACATTGAAGCACACATCACGTTCAATGACGTTCCTAACTCTGACAATATTTTTAACTTTCTGTTTCTCCCAAGAATCCGGGCAATAGGAAATCAAACAGGGACCAAAGGTCAAGGACATTGTTCTGAATTGGGGTCCCTGACAGGATTAAACGATGATTGCAAACCAATTGTTTGACTGCCTTAGAAAGCTTTAAAAAAAATACAGTTTTAAGCATTTAAAATGGGAAACAGCGAAACTTAAAACTATGATATATTATCTAATATGTATATGAAAGAGAATGCTTACTTTGGTTTTCCCATTCTTGATGACATGTCCCTCATCCAGAATACAGTAATTCCAGCTTATTGTGCTGAAGAAATCTATGTCATTCCTCACTACATCATAAGAAGCCACAATCAAATTATGTTTCTTCACTTTTTTCTGAATTCTGAAAAAAAAAATACAAATAGAGATGTACCTTATAGGCTGTATTCCTTTTCAAAAAAATGAAAATTATGCATAATCATTTATAAACTTCACAAACTACTAGATCTATAGATTCATACCTGGCTCTCTCTCCAGGTGGGCCAGCATACATGAGGGGATTTAGATGAGTAATATCCACAAATTTGTTGACTTCGTACACCCAGTGTCCAATCAGAGTTGGAGGACATATAACAATGGAGGGTAGGGGAGAAAACTCCATGGATTCCGTCTCCTGAAAACACATTTACTACTCAATGCATGCCAAATAAAAGCAACTGGATATTTAGGTACAGAAAGAGCCTGCAATATTCTTTAAAACCGTAGTGAAAAATGTGTTAAAGATTCTGTTAAGAGAGTACTTACAGGCCATGAAAAAGTCTTTACAAAAAATTAATGATGCACTGATATGTTACTGCATCATATGATGTATACCTTGAACTTTTCATCTCTGAGTTTATGGTCGGAGGCCATGATGCATATTGACTGAAGAGTTTTTCCCAGTCCCATATCATCACACAGGATCCCATGTAAATTATACTTGTTTAGGAAAGCTAGCCAGTTTACACCATCCTGCAAAGAATAAAAGAGCATGCATGTGTAAGTTCTTTATAAAAGTAAAATTGTCAGCATCTTCCAGTTTTGACCCTGTTATGTTATAATAAAGTTTTTATCAATATTTCTGAGCAAGTTTTCCCCTCAAAGACAAATCCTCTTTCATTTTCTTTTCTTTTAAGTTTCATCTGAAATCCTGCTATCATTTATAGATATACTTTCCTGACCTGTTGGTACTTCCTGAGCTCTGCTTTCACAGGGACCACAATATTATAGCTCTCCAGTTTAGATCCATCCATCAACTGTTCTAAGAACTTCCTTTGTTTTTCTTTTTCTGCGATTAGAGCTTCACTCATCTCTGGTGGGTCTGTGATTCCTGCCTAAAAAAAAAGAAAAACATGACCACTTCATCAATAACATATAGAGTTAAAATAAATTGTAAAACCTTTATTTTATGGATCTCTTCCATGAACTCATATACATGTACAACTACTTCACAACTATAAGACTCACTTTAAATAATTGAATGCATTTTGTAAACTTGACAATTTTACTAGTTTTTACACAGTATCTTCCTTGAATTCTAAAATTTTATATTTAGATCAATTTTTTTAATCAAAGTTTTCATAAATACCTTATAATATATTTTGAACCTCGTATAAGGCATCATTTATGATCAAGGAAGCAAAACAAGCGGTAGCCATTTTATTTCCTGACCGCCTCATCCTGGTCACTCATACGGCGGAGGACCTGCACTACCAGCAGCACTATGTAGGGAATCAGCTCCATCCCCAGACCATCTATCACACCTGTTATCTAGGTCAAGGTCAATTACCAAACACAGCAAAATCACTATCACTACCTAATTTACCTTTGTGTTTCATGAATATGCATAAATTGACAGAGAAATTATATCTTTTGTAAAGGATACATGCCAATGCTTCAGTTGCTCCTTGTCTATAAATGACATTATCAGCAACATCCATCAGTGGAACTATTTTTTCAATGATAAAGGTCATAAGGTCAAGTGTCATGACCTGACAAAGCATTCCAAAACATCTGGCTGCTAAGTGACGAACTGCTACAAACTGACTGTGCAGGCAATCCAATAGCAAAGGCAATCTTTCCCTTAGCTTTAAAAATGAAATTTTTTTTATCAATTGTCTTGGTTTAAATAATGAATACAGGTAATAATCCCAAGTATTTACAACAGGTAGCTAAAATGTGATCAAAGGAGAAAAGATTAGACATTTATGCAAGCCTTTGACCATATACCATATAAGTGGAAATTTTAGCAAGACACAAATTTAGCGATTTGGCCTTAAAATATGGTATTTTACTTTTAGCGATTTTAAAATGCTCACTAATGAAGCTATTACAAATAAAACACAGTTTATTTTAGCAATATTTAATTTTAGCATTCTAAGAACCCTCCCTAATAATGCCAAAATTTAATCCTTGCTAAAAATTCTGCTTATAGGGTATACACATTACTATTGTTGGATCATACCTGTAATTGTAGATCTGGGGTCATGACTGTACATAAAGTTTCCAACACCTGGAGAGAATTCACCAGCTCCTGAGCTTTCTCCTCTGTCAGTATATTCTCTGTCAAAAAGAATACTGTAGATTGGCAAATAATCATGATGGTTTTAATTTCACTATGTTCGCGAATCCTCATTTTTCAAATTAAACCCATCGTGAATGCTGTCATTGGTTTTTAAAAAATGATTAAAAGCGTATACGAAATTAAAATGAAGTTCTTGCAGCGTGAAAATAAAACCATCGCGATTGGTACTTTTTAAGAAATTTTACCACCATGGAATTAAAACGACTTACAGCAGATAAAACTATTAAAAACCTACAATCATTTTAAACAGAATTAAATTTTGAAATTCTGCCTGAATAAATCCCTCATTAAGACATTTGCAAGTTAATTAACCTGTGAAAGACAGACCTTTCCCAACACCTTGGAGAGGTTCCACCATATTTTCCCACAATGTTGGTAAGTTGCCAGGAAGTTCATTTCCAAATTTCTGTGTAATGGTTGTTAAAGCCAGAGTTGCTCCCCTTCTCTGGATCTGGTGCTGTTTTTGTGTCTAAAATGGAAAACAGAAACAAAAGAGAGATATGAACATCTTTCTTTTCCTTTTATGGAGTGTCTGAATCAATTTTAAACACCAACCTCATTAATTTCCTGAGTAGCGTCAGAGTCATCTACTTTTACACTTGCTGCCCTCTTCAACCATTTCTTTCCCACATTGGGGGTCTGAAATAATTTTTTTCAATATTAGATTTTTTTACACAAACATCCTCATTATGTCAAGAATTTGTGAATTGGAAATCCACTTGTGTGGAATTCCGAAATCAAAAAACCTTGACATTGTGAGGATACACAAACAAGTACTTGCAGTTTAATCCAAATTGTCTGAAGGTAAAATAAGAACAAATGGATATCTTTCATAACACTGGAATCTATGTCCATCAACTTATCTGCAATCCTGTTCCTACGAAGGCTGTATGAGGGAAAAATTTAATTTCTTTTGATAATCTAGGTAGCAGACTAACAAAAGGCTGCATTCCTAATAGTGATGCACTTAAAAATTCTATTTCTATCCACCAACTTTAATTTTAAAACTATATTGTATTCAATAACTTACTTTCTGTTGCTTTGTTAGGGTTATTATGCCTAACTTGACTCCACATTTTACTTCACTTTCATCAGCTATCAAAAGAAAATGGGTGAAATTAAAGTAAATACAGCTTAGAATCACTTGGAGCTCCTCCAGTGGCTCCTACCTCACACACTAACCTCAGATGTCAAAGGTGTTCTACCTTGCTGATTCAGTCATGTGACCTTATTTGAATTTCATTCAAATGTTACACTTTAGAAACCCGAGTTATCTTATGGCACCCCTAACACTTTGTTTTTGCTTTCAAAGACTATTAACATATGGTTGTAATTAAAAGCAATATACAATGAAGAATTAGACAAATAAAGAAACATTTTTAAAAGAACTTGAGGCAGAGCGAAATATGAAATGAGTGACAAGGCAATTTACAGAAGAGAAATATATCGATCTAATGCGTATTCCTCCACCTACTGTATACAGGGAAAATTTCGCCCCCGTTTTATTTTCGCCCCTTTCGCCCTTGTCACAAGTGGGCGAATTTAAAACGGGGCGAATTCAAAGAAGACAGTATAATTTCTTAAACAGAACTGTTACTGGGCGAAATTAAAACGGGGCAAAATTGTAAGCAAGTGTAAAAGGGCGAAAATAACACGGGGCGAAAATAACCCTGTATACAGTATCACATCCCAGACTTGAATGGAGCGTAGCGGAGTCAGCCGAGGATTGCTGATTGGCTTTAAATATATAATTTCCAGACAAAATCTAGTTTATCATCAGGTGAAAAACACATAGACATTCATCATAAAGTGCTACAATGGAGCTTATATTACCTGTATAGGTTGGAATGGGTGCAGTAACTCTAGGTGTATAGGTGGGATCCACACACAGAAAGGTGCACAGGTTCTTCAGCACCTTAGAGTTCGGGTTGGGGTCTTTATCCAAACATTTCTTGATTAATCTGCACAAACAGTCTGCTGCCTCTTGCTGGAATGTTTAAATTAATTCTGAATATCAAATTTTATTTGCAAATACATCAGCCTTGGTTGTCAAGTAATAAAAAATAAAAAAAATCTGCAAGAAACAACACATCAATCAGTCTCTGAAAATAATTATATACTGTAGTATCTACATGTATACAATGAGCATTTTTTAACAAGAACTTACTTGTATTTCTTGGTTTTGTTCCTTTTTGATACATTCCATCAAAGGTCGGATGACAGGATTGAGTTTCTCTGGAAGGGCTCCTAATTCTACAGCAGCCTTAGCTAAACTGCACTGGACTCTGTAATTATTTACTTTGATTGTAGGAAGTACTTGTATATCTTAAAGAAGAAACCAGAAGTCTCTGTCGAGACTGTAGCTCTACTGGTTTATACTTAAAACAATGGAAGAGAAAAGTAGCAATTGGGACTTGAGACTTTAAAACACCAATAAGTAAAAAAAAAATTATCCTTGCCACTCATCAAAATAAAAACCTATGCACAGAATTATGTATCTTAGTATAGTCTACTTATGTGCCAAGTTATATTGAAATCGGACCAAAAGTGTAGGAGGAGTAGCATTTTGAAAGAATTTCACAGAAATTTCTATTTTTAGTGACCATGGCAATACCGCTCATCAAAATCAGAAACCCATGCACAGAATTATGTATCTTAGTGTAGTCTACTTGTGTGCCAAGTTATATTGAAATCGAACCAAAAGTGTAGGAGGAGTAGCATTTTGAAAGAATTTCACAGAAATTTCTATTTTGAGTAACCATGGGAACACTGTTCCTCGAAATCAGAAACCAATGCAAGGAATTATGTATCTTAGTGTAGTCTACTTGTGTGCCAAGTTATATTAAAATCAAACCAAAATTGTAGGAGAGGTAGCATTTTCAAAGAATTTCACAGAAATTTCTATTTTTAGTAACCACGGCAACACCGTTCATCGAAATCAAAAACCAATGTGCAGAATTATGTCTCTTAGTGTAGTGTACTTGTGTGCCAAGTTATATTGAAATTGGACCAAAACTGTAGGAGGAGTAGCATTTTGAATGAATTTCTCAAAAAATTCTATTTTTAGTAACCTTGACAACACCGTTCATCGATAGCTAAAACAGATGCACAGAATTATGTATCTTAGTGTAGTCTTCTTGTGTGCCAAGTTATATTAAAATCAGACCAAAACTGTAGGAGGAGTAGCATTTTGAAAGACTTTCACAGAAATTTCTATTTTTAGTAAACAAGGCAACACCGTTCATCGAAATTGAAAACCGATGCACAGAATTATGTATCTTAGTGTAGTCTTCTTGTGTGCCAAGTTATACTGAAATCGGACCAAAACTGTAGGAGGAGTATCATTTTGAAAGAATTTCACAGAAATTTGTATTTTTAGTAACCACGGCAACACCATTCATCCAAATCAAAAACCGATGCACAGAATTATGTATCTTAGTGTAGTCTACTTGTGTGCCAAGTTATATTGAAATCAGACCAAAACTGTTGGAGGAGTAGCATTTTGAAAAATTGTTTACAGACAGACAGACGGACGACGGACGCATTACTATCGCATAAGCTCTTCTGGTCTCTGACCAGTAGAGCTAAAAATCTACTGTGACATTTTCAAAGAGTCAATAATTTTAACTTAACTTAATCACTTAAATTCAGTAGATATTTGGTTTCTGGAACACTGGTTTTTATTCGCGAGAACTTTATTTTCGCGTAATTACGCGAGACAGTGTGATCGCGAAAAATAAGTTCTCGCGTATAATAGTATTCCTTAAGATTATATAAACCAATAACCACAATTCGTGAAAATTTTTGTCTCTCTTATCAAGAGTCAATGGCTTTCTCGCGAAAATAAGGTGTCGTGAAAATTTAGTGATCTACAGTATATCAGTGATTTTGAGATCCCAACAACTTATTCTTGAATCACCAGACATATCAGTTTTTAGTTTGAAATATAACAATGTTTGACAGTATACTACAGCTATGTAGATGACCAGACCTGATGGTGAGTGTCTGTAGCTCCTGGATCGTGGTGTCCACGATGACCTTCAGTTGTCTCCTCCGCTCCTCAAACACCTGCTGGGCCTTGGGTTTTAGTGAGGTCTTAACTTGATCAAAAGTCGTAGTGGTCAGGGCACTGGCCTGGTCTAGTGTGATGATGCTCCTGATTTCAGAAAAAAAAATTATTACAGATAGAGGAATTTTGTTATTTACATCACATTATTGGGAAAAAAAACAGTAATGCTACTGTTAATCATGCAATGCAAACTAATAAAACTCACTATTTATATAAGTCACACTTTTTGCAACTCATAGTATGATACATGAGAATAAATAAAACCAAATATTTCATCGTGATCATAATTTGTTTAAAATTCCTAATCTACTGACCCTGGGAGAATAAGAGAGTCCAAGTCCACTCCATTTTGCTTGAGTCCAGCCATGAAATCTCTACAGTCTGACTGCATGTGTGTGAAGGAGATAGCAACCTCATCAAAGTAGATAGCATCACTCAAACACTCCAAAAGCTTGGCAACAACTTCATCTGGAAGTTTACTCTCCTGATATTTTAATAATAGAGAACTAATTCTGATTTCATTCTCTGATTCTATATGAATACGCAATATAAAGTTGATGCAGAATTTCTATTTATCACTAGGGCAAAATTTTGAAGATTTTTTTTAAAAATGTTTAATAAAAGATATGTACATGAGAATGAATTTTTAGTGAGCAGGGAGTCTTGTAATATTACACTAAAAATGAAGTTATTGTTCATAAAAAATAATTTACAGTGAAATATGCTGAACAGATGGTGAAAAGTCAGAACAATTTTGATTCAATATAAATGTAATTTGATTTATTCCATTTTCAATGGTGAAATACTGTAATTATCCACTGAATAAAAATCATATTTTTGAAAGCAATATTTTACACTCCCTTAAAGATAAAATAATCTTAACACTTGTGAAATACATGTAAATTCTATGTCCAAATGAAAAACATTGTCCTCTATGTGTACGTTTAAAGCTACAAGGAATGAACATCAGTTAGTAGTATATGTTTGTTCGACTGAAAAATGACGAGAGCTTACCTTATTGGAGCATGCCAAATTGTAGACAACTTGACCAATGACAAACCGCTGGACAGCTGATTTGCTGTTCAGGTGGAACAAAAAGAGCTTAGAAAGGGAGGTAACTGGTTTTTCTCCTTCAGGTGGGAAGTTGGGAATTTCTTGAATGATGTAGCTACACAGCATTCCCAAAAACCTAAATTACACAATATTCATATCTTTTTTTAAAGGTAATTTTTTCTTATGCATGTAGGTTTAATCTAAAAACATTTTAGTGTAATCAAAACATTTGCCGTCCTGTAAATTCAACATTGCATGTATTTGCCTCATTCTCAATTAACTCACCTATATCACAATTTTAAAACTTATAGTATGATTAAAATAAGTTTTTACAATGTTAGATAGTAAAGTAAATAATCACTTTGTAGCCATGATCCTAGTCCTCATCACTGCCATATCCCTGTCCACTACACTGGCGTTCAGTGTCAGCGTTCCTGCAATATAATCTTTCTCCTCTCTGGTGGTTTTCTGTGGGGTTCCTATAAGATGCCTTGTCTTTCCATGTTCACCATCAGACTGTCAACCAATATTTTAAAGAAAGTGTATAAATAACAATATAAATGATTTTCAATATGGCTATTCACACTAGAAGAATGAAATGTTTCCTATTACCAGTACAAGCAGTTTTAAATATCTCAAATACTTGATATTTCACATTTCTTTCATAATTTCACTCTTGCACGTCTGCTAAGTTTTATTTACTGAGATTCACAAAATACCTACATGTAGTCTTCCTCTGTGTTTAGCTTCAATAAGATAGGAGGAATCAAATGGAAGCTTGGATGGCTGCATACAAAGACAGAGCCAAACTCCTAACCAGGGAAGAGAATTCCCCACCAGGTACTCTAATGGAGCCTTAGACAGCAGCTGTGTCCACACTCTCTCTAGAATCCGAATTATACTGTCTTTTTCTTCCAGCAAACATCTCTGGAAGACATGCCTGAGTGCATCTTGTAAGATAAAGGGTAGCCATGGTTGAACGGTCTGTTGATCCTCTGGTATTGTGAGCAGAGTGTGGAAGGTTTCTAGGGCAGACTGTCGAACTGAGGCAATGGAATGTCGTAGGAATGGCCAAAGTCTGGGGACGAGTTCAGGAAGAGGCTGAGAAAGCCTGAAATGGAACAAAAAAATCATTTAATGACTTTAGTAACATATCTAAAAAGTCAATTCACATGTTCACATTTTATTACAGTATCTATTTTCTAAGCAACTGAGCTATCTGTGTCATATTTACCGTATTTATCATAAATTTTTTTGTTTACTTGCAGAAAAGTCACTGTGGAAGTTAGTGGGGGAGCAGGCGCGGATCCAGGAATTGAAGTTAGAGGGGGTGCCAAAAGTAGGCAAGGGGTGTGGGGGCCACCTTGAGGCCCCCAGTGGGTCCAGGGCAAAGCCCTGGTGGGGGCTCAGGGAGGCAAAGCCCCTGGAAGCTCCTGAATTCTAGAGATTTTGTAGTGTAAAAATGAGGTCTACCAAGGAGACTTAGGCCTAGAAAAAAAATATGTTTGTTTCCGCTTTCAGGCTGAGAAAATATAGGGTAGGTCGGTAGGCAAATTTTTTTTTTTTTTGAAATTTTTTTTTTACTTCTTTAATCAAAACGTGTATAGAAGTAACATTAATGACAAAAGAAATGGTGTTTTCAAGCATTTCTGTGACTTAAACTTATAATAGAAAGGTGACTCAAACTTCTTTCTGTCTTGAAAAGCTTGCAAAGTTGGAGACTATAATTCCCTGGGTGAAATCTTGCACTTCATGGGACAAAAGCATTAAAAAAATTTTTAGGGTCAGCACTATAAATTAGGGTCGGTCGGGAAAGCGGAAACAAACATATTTTTTTTCTAGGCCTTATTTACATTTTCTAGACGAAGCTGTGATTAGCGCTAACTTTGACAATTTTAGGGGGCGCGCGCCAGGTGCGCCCCCCTTAAATCCGCCACTGGGGAGGGAGGCATATGCCCCCCCCCATCATTCCCAAGATTAGTTTTGATATGTACAAATGAAAATAAATAGTACAATGATACATATGAAATAAAAATAATTTTTTTTCTTACTAAATTAAAAATGCTACATTTTTTCACTGGGATTCTATACTAATTTTTAAGAATGGGAATCATACCAATCTTTGACAGAGGCCTGTGGGTTTGTTAAGATGGTTGAGAGCAGTGTCATAATACTGTTAGTTGAGGCGGTCAGGTCATCCAGATCTAGCAGGGTGTCCCATAAACAAGTCAAGACTAAAGGCACCTGTCAAGCACAATCATTTTCATATGGAGCAACAGAGACTATTTTACCGTCACATTCCAAACTCTCATTTTACGTATAATTCTTATATTAATTGAAAATCATCAACTGATGAAAAATTTGATTCTAGAGTTCTGAGTATACTATTCATAAGCAATAAAATTCTTGTTTAAGATGCTTAACAATGTCAATTTTGAGAAAGAAAAAAAATCAAGAACATAAAAACATGTATAACAATGTCATCATAAACAAGAATATTCAATAACACAGACAATCTTAATTTTCATGAATCTTAAATAAAACATTTTTCCCACCTGTTGTGGAAGTAGATGGACAAGATCGTGTGCGACAGGAACCAGTGCTGCTGCTGCGACAGCCCTGACGTCATCGTCCACGTCCTGTAGTCCGCGGAACAGAGACGGCAGCACTACGGGGAGGATCCTTTCTGTCATATCCTGTAAATCATAATGTGAAGTCTGAATAAAACTGTTACAATACAACACTAGAGCTCTAACATTCAGTATAGGGCACCTATTGTCTTACCTGTCTGACAGCCAGTAAGTACTTGAACCCTAGGAGTCCCCCGTGCCTGACCTCCCACTGTTCCTGGGCCAGGAGTTGTAACAGGACACTGACCATCCCCTCCACACCACACCTGTCCAGGTGTTTAATGACCATCCCCAGGGTCTGGGCACTCGTCTCCCTCACAGGGGCTACCACCTTCAAGAGAAAAAAACTTTCAATAAATGTGTCTTTATGATGTAATATTTTGGTGATCAAACAACTTGTTGTAGTCTTAAAACACAAACTGACCTCATCAGAGACATAATCACCAAACCGGTCCAGTGAGAGAACACATAGCAGTCTGAGGGCCAGGTCTGTCAACCACACCTGGTTAATCGTGTGCAACTGAAATAAAAACATAGGGGGGTAATGTCATACAATCTAATCAGTATCAACTTTAGTTTAAATCAAAGAAAAATTCTTTGTAAACTTATTAAATCTATAAATTCATAAACAGAACATTATGATTATCATTTACAAGACCTAGATTATAGTGTATCTTACAAATAATTTCAGAAGTTATCACACATATAAAAATTTGATTTGCTCTTTCTTCAAAGATCATCAATGATAATGTCTAACCTGATCTTGAGGTATATCTATTGATAACCCTGCCGAGTCTCCATGGATACGTATGACCTCTCTAAGCCCTGTGGCAGCACCATGTCGAGTTTCCCATCGACTGTTGAAGAGATCATTCATCAGTAACTCACAGAATGACTCAAAGTACCACTCCTCATCCTGAAAAATTGCAATACATGTAGTATTATAATAGTCTATTATGCTCACTGCTTACATTCAAATATGTAATGAATAAAAGTAATTTTCATCTCAACTCTAAAGAGATAAACTGATGTGGGATTTGCTTTAGACAAACATCTACCTCCTCAATGTCTACCGATGCCTCCATGACCAGCTTGCTTTCACTGCCTCCCATATCCATGCTGTGGGACTTGGCCTTTTTACAGGGAGGTTCCGTATCTAGGGACATCTGCTCACTACATAGACACAAATTGTGTCAAAATTAAAATCAGTACTCTTATATTCCTTACCAATAAAATCAAAGCGGGATGAGAAATTGCATTTTATCCGTAAATCAATAAGTTTCAGAACCTACACTTACAAAACATTTGCACATCTACAGGGTTTTCGTGAAATCTAATATATGTTTCAAATGCAATTAAATCAACAAAGTGAAAATGTAAATTCAAATGTAATCTTGGCCTCTGAAAAAAAAAAAAATTAAGTTTATACATGGTCGTACTTATAGCAGTCCTTTGACCTCTGCTTGGCCAGGATTTTAGCTTTACGCTTCATTCTGCTCTGTTCCCTGGCACTCTTCCCCCCTGTCACATCTAGAAGCTGCTGCTTAAGGATGTCTGACACACTCCTCTACAAAAACAAGATTAGAAACCTCGTTTTCAAAGCTTTGTAAAATTTATTCTGTAAAAAGTCTAAAAAATCAAAATTCACTTTTCTGCAAGCTATACAGATGTTTGGGAAAATAAAAAAGATTATTGCCTTGTCTGAAAATGTGTCGCCGTTCTCCGTCTTAATTTGGGATACCAAGTCTTCATCAGAGAAAATGTCTCCTCCAATCCCTAAGTTCCCAGCCATATCTAATCCAAGTCTCTTGTTCAGCATCTGACGTTGTCTTGACAACTGGTCTTTGTCATTCATGCCTAGGATATTGTAGTGATATTTAGGAGTTATTCCCCTTTACACAAAGTACTTAAACAATTTTTCGGAGATGAAACTTTACAACATGAAAAAAGAAACTAACCACTATCAAACTGTTTAACCTTAATTAGAAATTGACAAAACCATTCTGGAACTATTCAAAAGTAAGATAAAATATGAACATTTTCTTATTCTTCCTACTGAAATATTTAAGATTCCAGGTTTAATAATATTTTAACTGTTTTCTTTACAAGTGGATGAATATGTTTTCCTTTTTTCTGATGTATTCTCTCTGAAACTTACTTAGTATTTCAGTTTCATACTGCTTCTCCTCCGCCCCTAACAGTGATGCCCCTTGAGACAGAACCTTGCCAATATTGAACTGTGTAAATAAAACCTGGCTTGGATTTCCCTCTGTGATGTTACCATTGGGCTCTGTACAAAAAGATTATTCACTATTGGCAACCATATATAGAGAAATAACTTAACAATAAATACAGACCTACATAAACTTCCTTCAATTTTTTGAATGCCAGTCAAAAACACAAGACCATTTTCCCCCTGACTAAACATTTTTGTACAGAAGTTATAATGCAAAATGTTTTATTGTCTGGAAGTAATTTCATGATCCTCAGGGTTGGTAAGGGCAGATAATTTAAGATGTTTTAACAGTTAACCTTGTTTGATGGGTATCTTCTTATTCCACTTTGGCACATTTCTGGCTATGGCTGACACAGCTTGTCCTGCGGCTATCCGGGTCTCCCAGCTTGAGCTCTTTAAGTAACCATGAACCTTTACAGAAAAATTCATTCATTAAAATAAGTTTATCATGTTGATGAATGCAGTCCATAAAAAGGAGGGATAGGGATTTCAGGGGGAACTTAATTAACAATGAAGTTGTCCTATTGATTTGCAATATATTTCAGAAAAGATATAGACTATGAGAACTAAAAAAATCCCTCATTATTTTCACCTTTGACAGCAGGTTCTGGAGTTCATATGGGTGCAGTTTTTGCACCTCTCCCAGCTGTTCAGCGGCTGACTTCCTGATTAGTGGGGTGGATCCAGTGTCCAGAAGTAAAAACAATCTGTCAAGCCTGTTAATGGAGGAGAGAAATAATTCATGTACAGAATAGTAATTATTACAAGAAAGAAAAGAACACTTAAATTACAACACTGCTTTAATACATGGTTTTTGATGTCCATAGTTTAATAAATGGTGAAATTGAACCTTCAGTAAGAATACACATTAAGATTGACTATGCCCATCATATCAAATTTTCTTCCTCAGGACACTTAATACCCTTGATTATTCTGATTAATGATTCATTAAAGTAATCTATGACTTTGGGTTCCCCCTCATCAGAAAAAAAGTTCAATATTCCAAAAAATTCAAAACATTAACATCATAGACCTCAAAAAGGACTGTTTTTATATGTATGAAATAATATATATGGCTAGAAATTAGTTTTGAATTTCTGTTAGGGTGTCACCTATGTTCAATTGTAACCAGAAACACACAGGATATCCTATTCAAGTCAAATGAAGTGACAAGCCATGGTACACTACCAAAGGTCAAGTGGAGACTCTGACATATGCAAAATCGACAAGAAGTCCTACCCACATCAAAGAATTACCAAAAATGTCACAAGGTCACCTATCTCTGACTAAGACCTTGACCTTTTGACCTAAGACAAGCTTATTCCTTTATCATCTATCATAAGTAGCAAGAATTAATAAGTTAGGCTAATACAAGTTTTTCTTGGTGTTAACAGGTGACCAGTATGATCTCTTTTCTGTATTCATGCAGTGATAAGTTGACCTGGCCTTCGATCATCAAGACCTGACAACCTTAGGACACGAAATGCGACCAGTATACTCCTTCAAACTTGTACCTAAGTGACAGACTGTAAACACACATCTATTTTATCATCCTGTATAGTACTTATTCTTTTTTATATTAGGCCTATTTTGACATTGGTGATTGGTACATTAAAAATGCAACACGCTGTTGTCAATATCTACTGTTCAACTACGTTTGCTTGCTATGTATTGTACATTCTCCCCATTTAGCGGCAATATGATCATTTTCAGGCATTGACATATGTCAAACATATGACAGGCAATCCGTAAATCTTCTGTATATGTCAACATAACCTACACCAGCCTTTATAAACACTGTGTCAGCTGATCTGCCGTGCTGTAGATTCCATGTCTTACCTAGTCGTCATTTTTGACAGCAGTCCAATTTTAGCAATGCTTGCTGTATCTCATACTCAAGATGTCCTCCTGAAGCTTTCCTTGTATGACTCTGCAATACTTTGTTCCTATATTAACACTTTTGGGTAGTAAAGCATGTTGCAAACTTTTTAAAACAACTTTCAATGACTGTTTAATTTACGTGACGCCAATATCTGGCGGTAAAGACGGGTATCTAACAAGAAAAACTGAAATAATTCTCTGCCAAACTGCTTCTTTATTTAATCCTCGCCCGCCCTCGACGGGCTCACTTTTTATACTGACTGCCATTTTACACTGCTTACCTAAAATAGCGAACTTACTAACCCTTGATTGGCCGAAATTTATATCTTTCGACCAATAGGAATATTATGGAGTAAAAGAACGGTGCCCACTTTATAGAGTACCTAGACTATTTTATACCGGGGTATATTGGTTTTAGGGACTCTTAGGTATATCGAGGATGCATAAAAGAGATAATTTTCTAGAAAAAGTAACGAAATTGCTGCTGTGAAATTAAACGTGTGATTAAAGGATTTCGAAAGACAAACAAAATGTTGTCCACTAAGTGGTATTTTCAAGAGTCTGAATTTGATCGAAAAAAAAATCGGTCAGACGTTTCAATAGAATACCTGTAGAACAGGTATGTCATAAATATAATAGCCAATGAAATTGAAGGTCTACATAAACACCGAGTAAGCACGTGTTCGACTGATACATGTGCTAAGCTAACTCCAATAAACATGATAAAATTATAATGATGTACAAATTCGTTGCAATGCTTGTTTTAAATAAGCGGGAACTCTTTTTATAGCTTTTTCTTATTTAAAAATCTTCATTTCAGTGTAACTCATGTTGTTTGTCGCGGAAAGTGAGGTGTCCCAAAACATTACGACGAATATTCCTTCCTCGTTTCTAAAGAAATGGGCGTGTCATTATGTTATTATTGACGTTCAAAACATGACTCAGAACGTTTCGTTCAAATGGAAAATTTTACCACTTCAATGCGCTTCATTGTACAATGAAGCGCATTGAAGTGGTAAAATTGTCTGTTCGGATGAAAAGTTTTGAGCTATTATTAGACACGCCCATTTCTTTAGAAAGGAAAACTCGGTCAAATGATTCAATCGAATACCAGTAGAACAGGTATTTCATAAATATAACATCCAATGAAATTGACGGTTTATATAAACACCGAGTAAGCACGTGTTCGACTGATACATGTGCCATGCTAGCTCCAGTAAACATGATAAAATCATAAACCACGGACAAAATCGTTGCAATGTGTGTTTTCCATAAGCGGGGACTTTATACATAGCTCTTTCTTATCTAAAACTCTTAATTTCATTGTAACTCATGTTGATTGTCGCGGGAAGTGCAGTGTCCTAAAACATTACGACGAATATTCCTTTCTCGTTTCTAAAGAAATGGGCGTGTCGTTATGCTATAAGTGACCTTCAAAACATGACTCAGAACTTTTCGTCCAAATGGAAAATTTTACCACTTCAATGCGCTTCATTGTATGTTCAGTTTTCGGTTAATCACTAATGTCTTCCTCTAGTAAACTGCCCAAATATGAAAAGAAGTGTCGGATTGGTTTTTTTTTATTTCGAGTCCAATGGATTTGACGAATGAACTTAGGAATAAAAATGAATATTAATGATTTGATAAAACGCCCTCGATGTACTTAGATCTCAAATTGAAGACTACGGCAAGAGACTTCTTCTTCTTCTTGTGTTAAAGTTTGTTTTTTTTTTAATGAATTGTGCTTCATAAAATCTGCAAATAATGGGGCACGAATAGTGCCCATGGGAATACCATCAGATTATTGAAAGATGTCATCTCCCAATCATAAATTGAGTTGATTTGGTTTTGCATCAGTCTTTTTCACACTTTATACAATGAAGCGCATTGAAGTGGTAAAATTTTCCGTTTGACTGGAACGTTTTGAGCTATCTTTAGAACGATGATTATCATACAATGACATGCCCATTTCTTTAGAAAAGAAAAATCGGTCAAATGGTTCATTCGAATACCTGTAGAACAGGTATTCCATAAATATAGTAGCCAATCAAGTTGACGGTCTGCATAAACACCGAATAAGCACGTGTTCGACCGATACATGTGTTATGGTTACTCCAATAAACATGATAGATTCATAATTATGGACAAATTCGGTGCAATACGTGATTTACAGAAGCGGAACTCTCGAACTCTCTCTCTTATAACTTTAAAAATCTCCATTTTAGTGTAACTCATGTTGCTTGTCACGAAGAGTGGGGTGTTATAAACATTACGACGAATATTTCTTTTTCGTTTCTATAGAAATGGGCGTGTCATTATGTTATAATTGACGTTCAAAACATGACTCAGAACGTTTCATCCAAATGGAAAATTTTACCACTTCAATGCGCTTCATTGTAACATGAAAGATTGTCAAACAATACTGAAGTTTTATTCCTTTTTGGCAGTGGTGAATTTCGGGGTAATACACATGGGTGGCCATTCAAATTGAAGAAAAACTATATCATATATATGGTTCCTCCTTTAATTGCGGAAAAAATATTTATAAAAGAAGGGGTCTACATGAAATATTATCTCTTTATTCTTGAAAGACAGGAGCCTCTTGGGCTTGGTATATATGTTTTTAACAGTCAGAAGCCTTCCACAATTAAAATTACTTTATCCGACATAAAAACAAATACGTCCACTGCCGAATTTGAAAGATCCCGACCAGCCCCTCTTTTACGACGAAAATTATACATAATTTAAAAGCTAAAAATCTCTCCTGTTGCTATATATTGCGTTTATAATATCTGTCTCACGGCCCCTCAACCCCTGTGGTGGAGAGTGCGAATTGAGCAGCCACCGGCTCTTCGTAGCCTTTCCAGTTTTTTGTATATCTCTTTAATTCCGAATAGGCTTCCGGTGTACACAGAAAAGATGGCGGCGACGGGTGTATTGCCGTTTGTCAGAGGAGTTGATTTTACTAAAAATGATTTCAAAGTAAGACGAAAAAGAAATAGTTATGTGTTATTGATTTTTGGCCTATCAATAATTTGTCTTTTACAATGTATCAAATTAAATTTCTTGTTTGAAAAGTGAAGAATCAAGGTATAAGCATGATAAATCCATCTCAGAAGGTCTAGCACAATCTAATAATTAATTACAGCTACAAAAAAGTTTATACTTCAAGAATTCTTATGTACGTTGAGGTGTACAGTGTAAATAAAATAATCTTGCTATGTCTTTGGACAAGCTCTTATCACATTTGGGTTGCATCCCATTGCAATTTAGGAAATCTGAGTGGATCTGCTCAGCCTCTGAAATGATTTTGAAGAATGCAAAAGAAGTTGCACTGAAAATAACTGCAAAATTAAATTTAACAAATCTGAGATTCATGTGACTTTTAACCTAAAAAAAAGAAATCCATGTCAGATATCAACGTGTTGTAGCGTTATACATGTTATGTAAAGGAACACTAAATTCATATTGATCAAAGCTTGTAGTGACATACAACAAAATTGGAGGTCCATACAATATTAAAGTTGTTTATTTCTATTTCCAAAGTTCTAAATCTTAGTAGTAAGTACTTTTTTGTAAAATTTAAATATAATATACATGTATGAATTAAGTTTTGAATACTCTGCCACTTTTAACACCAGGCAATGAATTTTGTAACTATTGTGTAATTTAATTGCATTACATTATCTATCTGTAATTATATGTTTATGCCCATTTTGACCCTTACTTTTTTCAGGATGGTAAATTTCCACACGATGTGGCTGACATGACAGGTCTTAGATGGCTGAGACTCAATAAAACTGGACTCAACAATATTCCACCAGAAATCTATAAACTAAAGAAACTGGTATGTGACTTTTAATTTGTTTGTTATTAATTTGTAACTAACAAGAGGAATTGTTTTCTTACACATGTTCTTTGTCAATTACAGGAACATTTCAACATCACCAGAAATAAGGTAGAATGTCTTGGAGAAGAGATGGCCAATCTGAATGCCTTGCGTACATTAAACTGCAGGCACAACAAACTAACAGATGAGGGGATTCCCAAGGATATTTTTAGCTTAGAAGATCTCCAAGTTGTGGTATCAATACATTTACATATATGTAGCAAAAAAAGAAGAAATGTATTTTTATAAATTACATGTATATTTAAAGAAATTCAAATTTATATAAAATTTAATACCGAAAGCAGTGAATAATTGTACGGTACTGTCTACATTCTTAGACTTAATGCACATGATTACATAGCATATATATATAGTATATATTATGTCTTTTTCAGGACTTGAGTCATAACAATTTGAAAGAAGTACCCCCAGAGCTGGAAAAGGCCAAAAACTGCATTGTGTTGAATCTTGCCAACAATAAGTAATTTTGTTCAACAAAGATTTAGAAAATGTCTATAAGTGTCTTGTTTTTGAATGTCACAAGTACTCATATCTGTTTAAGATAATCAGCAAGCAAAATGCAGTGTGATAGTTAACCTGATTAATTATGACAGTTTACTTTCTTTTCAGTATTGAAATGATTCCAAACCAGCTGTTCATCAACCTGACAGATCTGATATTTGTTGATCTGAGTGACAACAGCTTAGGTAACAATAGTCCTGTAAACTGAGATGGATTTACCAAAATATACATTTATGTAGATGTGCTGTATAATGCCTGCCATTAATGTTGAGTTTTCATTTCAATATTTTACACAGAGCTACGTAACTTAATTTGATGTTTTGTAGAAACTTTGCCACCACAGATGAGAAGACTGACAAACTTACAGACTCTTATTCTGAACAACAATCCACTGATCCACGCACAACTCAGGTGGGAATTCCTTATATAGAAATTTAGTATTGATATTAGATATTCAAAACTAGGATGTTTAAGGAGTGGATATGTGTACATATTTTAGTCATCTACCATTAGTTTTTCAAAATAATTTATCCCTGTCAATCTCCAAGTAAGCAGTAATGATATTGATCACAAATTTAATCTAGTTTTTACCTTACAGACAGTTACCTGCTCTTGTTGCCTTGGAGACCCTCCAGATGAGGAACACCCAGAGGACACTGGCCAATTTCCCCTCTGGTCTGGACAGCCTCAGTAACCTCCAGGGTAATTATCAGTAACCTACAGGGTATTTACCAGGGTCAAATCTGAGAAGTTTTTCAAGAAATTCACAACAAAAATGAAGTGGGAAAAGCACTTTCTTTTAAGTTCTCTACCAACCTAAAGAATTAATATGATGTTAAAAATTTACAGTAAGCAAGGATATGTATGATTATCCAGTCATATTCATCCATGCTGTTATTTTATTTTAGACATAGATTTGTCTGGAAATGATCTTCCCAGAGTCCCAGAGACTTTGTATAAACTGACTGCCATTAAACGCTTAAACCTGAGCAGCAACCAAATCACAGAGCTGTCCCTGGTTATAGGTAGGTTATTGTATATCCATTATACAAAGAGCCGTATCATAAACTCCACTGTCTGTCTGATAGCTTTTTGTTGACTTGCAGAAGATTTAAGAAAGTGAAAGAAGCCATTCCATGTTTCTGGTACTGTAGTTTAAAATGCTTTTATATTTCATTTCATATTTGAATATAATGATTTTTTTTTCAGACACATGGGTAAATTTGGAAACTCTGAACTTATCCAGGAACAATTTAACTGCACTGCCTGTAAGTAGAAATAAAATCTGATTTTCTTTTGTATGGCAAGAAAATCCCATGGGATATTTAGCAAACTATAGATTACTCAAACTATGTCTTTTCAGAGCTCTTTACATAAGCTTTCTTCACTGAAGAAACTATATGTTAACTCCAATAAACTGGACTTTGAAGGCATCCCAGCAAACATAGGGAAATTACACAATCTGGAAATCTTCAGTGCTGCTAACAACAACCTTGAATTGATTCCAGAGGGACTGTGCAGGTAGTCTGGATATGTGTTATACATTGTAATATAATTTTGAAACATAATATGAAAATAAGATTCAGACACAATGTATGATGTAAATGATGGTTTTAGTAAAGATTGTCTGCTCAGAGGGAAACATCTTAGTTTTTCATTATTGTGTAGAAATTTGATTTTGTAGTTATTTTGGTTTTGAATCATAGAAATCTGTTGATTGTGTTAATACTAAAAAGGACATTTTTTGTACATAGATGTGGAAAACTGAAGAAACTTATTCTGAATGGAAACAGATTAGTCACACTGCCAGATATTCTTCATCTTTTGCCAGATCTTGAGGTAAGGAATATATAATGCTGGAAAACATTATACATGTTTGTAGATTTACATTTGACAAGTTTGAGTAAATTAGTCCTATAACTTCATTTTTAGCTCTACTGGTCAGAGACCAGAAGAGCTTATTTGATAGTAATGCGTCCGGCGTCCGTCCGTCTGTCCGTCTGTCTGTCCGTCTGTCTGTAAACAATTTTTCAAAATGCTACTCCTCCTACAGTTTTGGTCTAATTTCAATATAACTTGGCACACAAGTAGACTACACTAAGATACATAATTCTGTGTATCGGTTTTTGATTTCGATGAACGGTGTTGCCGTGGTTACTAAAAATAGAAATTTCTGTGAAATTCTTTCAAAACGCTACTCCTCCTACAGTTTTGGTCTGATTTCAATATAACTTGGCACACAAGTAGACTACACTAAGATACATAATTCTGTGTATCGGTTTTTGATTTCGATGAACGGTGTTGCCGTGGTTACTAAAAATAGAAATTTCTGTGAAATTCTTTCAAAATGCTACTCCTCCTACAGTTTTGGTTTGATTTCATTATAACTTGGCACACAAGTAGACTACACTAAGATACATAATTCTGTGTATCGGTTTTTGATTTCGATGAACGGTGTTGCCGTGGTTACTAAAAATAGAAATTTCTGTGAAATTCTTTCAAAATGCTACTCCTCCTACAGTTTTGGTCTGATTTCAGTATTACTTGGCAAACAAGTAGAATACACTAAGATACATAATTCTGTGTATCGGTTTTTGATTTTGATGAACGGTGTTGCCGTGGTTACTAAAAATAGAAATTTCTGTGAAATTCTTTCAAAATGCTACTCCTCCTACAGTTTTGGTTTGATTTCATTATAACTTGGCACACAAGTAGAATACACTAAGATACATAATTCTGTTTATCGGTTTTTGATTTCGATGAATGGTGTTGCCGTGGTTACTAAAAATAGAAATATCTGTAAAATTGTTTCAAAATGCTACTCCTCCTACAGTTTTGGTCTGATTTCAATATAACTTGGCACATAAGTAGAATACACTAAGATACATAATTCTTTATATCGAATTTTAATTTTGATGAACGGTGTTGCCGTGGTTACTAAAAATAGAAATGTCTGTAAAATTGTTTCAAAATGCTACTCCTCCTACAGTTTTGGTCTGATTTCAGTATAACTTGGCACACAAGTAGACTACACTAAGAACATAAAGAGACTTTATCAACGATCATTATTCTATTTAGTTTCAAATCCCAGCTGCTTAAGTACTTTTCTCTTCCTTTGCTATAAGTTCAAACCAGTAGAGCTTCAGTCTCGACAGAGACTTCTGGTTGTTAACTTTTACTGGTAAACACAAATACCTGGAAGTATCTGTATTACTGGATAATAGCCAAATTCTTATTAAATGCTGCTTACTGAGTATTTACATGATTTAAAGTAAAGTAAGACTGCTTTTGTAAAATTATACATACTACATGTATCTTTCACAGACTCTGGATGTGAGGGACAACCCAGATCTGGTCATGCCTCCCAAACCCAAGGAGATGAGGAAGGCTTATGAGTATTACAACATAGACTTTTCTCTTAACAACCAGTTAAGATTGGCTGGTGCCCCTACAGCGCCATCTACAGGACAATCACCTGGTTTCTATTTAGCTAACATTTTGAAAAATGCGGGAAGAAAGAAGTCTGCAATTTGCTTTTGAAAGAATAGAATATTTCATCAGAATATCATTCTGTGAATTCAGATTAGCATGCAGCAACTAAATTACAAAGTTTTTTTTATTTTCAGTACAAAAAGGGGATCCTGTTGCCCGAAAACTGAGATTGAGAAGGCGTAGAGATGGACAAGAGAGTGAAAAGGTTCTAAAGGTAAGAAATTAGTTAAAGTTTGACCTGTCATAGAGGAGCAGAAATTGGCAGATGTTTGAAAAGCATGCATGTTTTCACCATATAAAATAGGCTACTGTTCAGCAAGGAAAAAGACATTTCAAAATGTCATCAAATGTAAAAAGTTTTAACAGCTGATGGCCAATTTTTTAGGATACTGTAAACTAACTTTTATTTGCGACGGCTTTATTTCGTGATTTACCAGGGATAAACTAGTTCGCGACAATTTATTTCGCGATCAAGCCTTTTTGGATCTGTTGTTAACAGATACATAAACTTTAAGGACTAGTTCGTGGCGAGAAATATTCAAGATGACGAGGCTCTCGCAAACTTCGCGAAAATTTTTCGCATGCGAATAAAAGTTGGTTTACAGTACATAAAACTCTCTGACCTTGGTTTTGCTTTTATAAAAGCATTTATTGTGGAAAATTCAGAATGAGATCAAAATTTAACTTCACAATTTATACCAGGTTACCAGTATGAAAATAACACTAAAGCTATAATAAAACCACTCTACAAGGAAACTAAGTTAGAAAATGATTTCAAGTCTGACAAGTATATGTACATGTATATCTAGTTTTTAGCTCACCTGAGCCAAAGGCTCAAGTGAGCTTTTCTGATCACAATTTGTCCGTTGTCTGTCGTCGTCGTTGTCGTCGTTGTTGTCGTCGTTGTCATTGTAAACTTTTCACATTTTCATCTTCTCAAGAACCACTGGGCCAATTTCAACCAAACTTGCTACAAAGTATCCTGGGGTAAAGGGGATTCAAGTTTGTTCAAATGAAGGGCCATGCCCTTTTCCAAGGGGAGATAATCATGAATTAGAGAAAAAATAATGGCATTTTTAAAAAATCTTCTTCTCAAGAACCACTGGGCCAGGAAAGATGAAACTTATGTGGAATCATCCTCAGGTAGTGTAGATTCAAATTTGTTCAAATCATGACCTCCGGGGGTAGGGTGGGGCCAAAATGGCCGATCAAATTTTTACATAGGAATATATAGGAAAAATCGTTAAAAAACTTCTTCTCAAGCACCACTGGGCCTGGAAAGATGAAACTCATGTGGAATCATCCCCAGGTAGTGTAGATTCAAGTTTGTTCAAATCATGACCCCAGGGTGTAGGGTGGGGCCAAAATGGCCGATCAAAGTTTTACATAGGAATATGTAGGAAAAATCTTTAAGAATCTTCTTCTCAAGCACCACTGGGCCTGGAAAGATGAAACTCATGTGGAATCATCCCCAGGTAGTGTAGATTCAAATTTGTTCAAATCATGACCTCCGGGGGTAGGGTGGGGCCAAAATGGCCGATCAAAGTTTTACATAGGAATATATAGGAAAAATCTTTTAAAATCTTCTTCTCAAGAACCACTGGGATAGGAAAGATGAAACTCATGTGGAATCATCCTCAGGTAGTGTAGATTCAAGTTTGTTCAAATCATGACCCCCGGGGGGTAGGATGGGGCCAAAATGGCCGATTAAAGTTTTACATAAGAATATATACTACATGTATATAGGAAAAATTTTCTTTTCAAGAACCATCGAGACAGGAAAGAGGAAACTCCTGTGGAATCATCCCCAGGTAGTCTAGATTCAAATTTGTTCAAATCATGACCCCCCGGGGTAGGGTGGGGCCAACTGGCCGATAAAAGTTTTACATAGGAATATATATAGGGAAACCTTTTAAAATCTTCTTTTCAAGTACTTCAAAGCCATGCTTAGTGATATTTATAGGGAATCATCCTCAGGTAGTGTAGATTCTAGTTTGTTCAAATCATGACCCCCTGGAAGGTTAAAATACACGCCCCCCCCCCCCCCAGTAAACTTTCAGTTCTGATCTGATATGTGCTTTTTTTCCTAGCCAATTGCTCAGGTGAGCGATGTGGCCCCTTGGCCTCTTGTTACAATATGGATTGGATTAGGAAACTAAATTTCACTGGTAGACAAATGTTTCTTTAATATCTACACTGTGGAATTGATGTTACTTTGATAGATGTTATTTTCTGTACACATAACACTGTATGTTACTTTTACAGGGCATGAGAGAGGTCGCTAAAGAGAAGGAACACATGCCTAACTTGGAGGAGGAGTCCAGACAACCTCTAAAGTAAGTTCATAGAAAAGAACATCCTAGTAGTGTTCCATATGTTCCATATATGTGAAATAAAGAACAAAGTTAATAGGAGTGAAATGGTTCACCATGGCATTTTTTCTTGGTTAGAAAAACACAGTACAAAATCTCTATTTTCGGTTCTGTTCATTTTTGGGTTGGGTTTGGCATAACGTACAAACATGTTCTTCCGTATAATAAGTTCAAAAACGTAAATTTTTGTGGACTTATAGATGTAAAATAATATTCAACAGTCAAATCAATTAATTTGATTTCTTCTATCCATTTTGTACATAAATGATTTGACTTGATTAATTAAGTAAAAGAAAGCATAAAACAATGGTAGAATTTGTTTCCTTCTATCAATATGTATCGTATCGAAAATAACTGAACCGAGACCAAATTTTACGATACATACTGAAACGTTAAGGAGGCATAGCGTTTCACCCTTAAAAGTTAAAATACACTGCAACTTTTAGATGAATCAGTGGCCCCTTTTTTAAACAAACTTTATATTAACAGACTACAGAATAAGTGGAATTTTAAGGAATTGTAATTACAGATTTGAAAACATTCTCCTTGCAAGAATAATTTTTTAAAATGTAAGGTTCAGTCCACAAGGTGAAGACAGTGGGAAATGGAGTGGAAGTATTATTATACATACACTGTACTTTTTACCTGCTGCATTTCATTTCTGGAATTTTTTAAAATATTCAACTTTTCATTTCAAACATTTAATAGTTTCATTTCTTGTATTGACTCCTGATCATATTCTTAACATTCCTATGGTAGAAAAAAAGTTTTGATACTTTGATAATCATTTTAGCATTTTAGACACATCTATTTATTTGTGTTTCAGACTTTAATATGTTCTTATTTAAATTTTCACATACAAAAACTGATATATATGTAGTATCGATGTCCCTTCTTATCTATACATGTATGATGTTTCATTTATTAGAAATTGACTTCAATCCATGAAAGAGGTTTTATGCAAGTTTTTTTTTTATATCTAAAAATAAATTCAGATCTTTTTTTTAATACACCAAAAGATGTTTGAAAGTGGAGATAAGGGATCTAAAGGCCTGTGGTTTTAGTAATTGTACCTGTTTCAAAATTTAATTTATTAAGATCTGCTTAAGAAATTCAAGATAATAAAGTAATAAGAGTGAGAATCATTTGACCTTTACTTCAGTCTAGTAAATTAACCAAAAACCTGTTAAAATTCCAGAAGGTTTAGTGATCTCTTGAGGTAATGCCAGTAAATGTGTGTAATTTTATGCTTAATATGTTTTCATTAACTGCTGATACTGATTTATGAGTGGTTGTTTGTTCAGCTGTTAACATACACGTTTATAAAGTAGCTGAAGCTAGATTAATAAGGCTAAAAATTGATAACAAAGCAGATTTGTGTTGCAGTTTTCTTTTACATTTATATTAAAATGAAGTAAAACTCCCCATTGAACAAGATATTTTTTACACATGTAATTTCATAATTTTAAGAACATCAAAATAGATTTTGACATAATGTTACATAAAAGAAGCTGTGTTGAGACATCTTATCTCCTTCTGAATAGGTATTTAGGACAGCATGCTGTTTTATTTTATTTTATTTGTTTTTATTTATTTATCCTTTATTTTCTGGTATTGACCTTGTAGACCAAAGAAATGGAATGAACATCTACAGAAACCCCAGCTGGACTACAGTGAAATTTTTGAGGAAGATGTTGGCCAAATTCCAGGTTAGATTTTCATTTGTGTTGTAGATGTTTAGATGTGTAAAAGTTCCTGACATTTTATGTACATGTATGTGCACAAAATTATTAAGATGTTATGCAGTTGCACATCTTTACTGTAAGAGCTTAAAATTTTTGACATTAAGCTGTAGTGTCCTTTACAATTTTTGCCATTAGTTGGAAATTTCTGTATACATGTATTTATACAAAATGTGTATATATAGGAAATCAGGTCAGATTCTTGACCCAATTTCTTTAGAGTATTTGAAGGTACTTGGACACAGATTTGAAGTTATTATTTTCTCTATAATATAATTAATTTGTGAAAGTGCAAGGATGTGTCAATCAAACCCACCAAAATTTTTTTAAATTTTAATATCTTTTATATGAAATAAGATTTTTAATTAATTTTTGTGTGAAATGCTATTAAATTATATAAGTCGTAATATTATAGAGAAAATATTGACTTCAAATATGTGTCCAAGTACCTTTAATGATTTCCATCTTTTGAACAATGCTACATTGTATAAATACATGTACTAGTATAAATGCTTTTTTTATAGGAATCACTTGCTGGGAGATTGAAAACTTTTTACCAAATCCTGTTGATGAAGGTATGTTTACATTCAAAATGTTTTACAGTATTTGTCGTACAAGGAATTTACAGGGATTTAAGATAGCCTTGACAGAAGTTTAAGTCATATATTTTTCTAGACTTCTAGTACAAAATAATTGATCTTTTGTAATGTAGATGATAAGCAATACCTGCTTAAGAAGTCAGTGGAAGGTATGGTTGTGTATTAACACAGTTAGATCTTTTGTCCTTTCAGGACACAAATTTTAATAGTTACTTTTTTCACATGTTTATATGTGAAGTTATTTTTCTATAAAGATTTGTTAAACATTTTATTGTTTATGAGATTCATTTATTGTTTTACATCAATTTATTTTAATATTTTTCAAATGTACATGTTATTTTTCAAATGTACATGTTATTATTTTATTTCATTCCTTTCTTCTGTCAACAAACACGTTTGAAATTTTCTGGAAAAAAAATTCTCACCTACCCAAATAATATGTATGACTGGGAGAGGGGCCATTTTTAAAATGATAATGTAATTGCTGTGACATGCCCTCTTGGAAATTCTATATTTCCCGTGCAGTGTTTAATAGAACCATTCTGTGTATGACCAGAGGATGACCATAAAAGGGATCATTATTTGATAAAAAGTAAACTACAAAAGTTTCTGGTGTACTGAATTCTTAAAATAATCATAACAAAAGGCATGCTCAAACCAAAAGAGTTAATAACTTGATATACAAAAATATTAATCTTATTATATAAAACACAGTAAAAAGAAAAAAGCACAAAAATCAACATCATGTCCTGAAATAAAGTAAAAAATGTATTTTAAGTTGATGAAACATGACCAATTTTTAGTCAGTTAGTCAGGAGAGGGCAACCAAACAATTATTTTAAGATGGTCTGAGCCTCTTGTAAATTTTTTGATCAAGCTGCTGTGACATAAGGGAGGCAACTCTTATTTTGGAAAGAGTATTTCCGAAAAGCACTTTATATCCCATGCAGTGTTGGAACATTCTATAGGAAAATAAATATAACAGATAAATTGTTTGCTAAAAAAGTAAACTACTAAGGTTTTTGGAGTACAGAATTATTAAAATGTTCCTAAGAAAAGGCATGCTCAAACCAGCAGAGTTGATAACTTGATATACAAAAATATTTATCTTTAATACAAAAAACAGTAAAGAGAAAAACATACATTTTAAACAAGGAGCTTAATTCAACAGCTAAAGAAAAATAAATTACTGTATACTGGGAAATTTTCGCCCCGTTTTATTTTCGCCCCTTTCGCCCTCTCTTTGACTGGGCGAATTTAAAACGTGGCGAATTCAAATTACGCCTCATAATCTCTAAAGCAGAACTATGACTGGGCGAATTTAAAACAGGGCAAAATTGTTCATAAGTTCCAAAGGGCGAAAATAACCCTGTATACAGTAATTATCCTTAAAAGAACAGCTGTTAAGGGAATAGCCAAAATAAATTACATTTGTACCTTTGAATAATATATTGAAGTTGATTGCAAACACTGTCATTGTTTATGCCTATGAGCCAATCTGTTAATACATTTGTACATTCACTCTTTTAAGAAAAATAGACATGTAAAAAGTAGCTGCATGTTTACATGGAAATTGAAAGGGACTTAGATGTTTCATATTGCATTGATTGCCATAGATCTAAAATATTCTATGTATAAATTACAGCTTAACTGTATAGCTACATATGAATATTAAATGAAATATTTTAAAAGTCAACAGAAATGGTAATGTAAGAACAAACTTAAGTGCTATTTGTTTTTTTCCTCTGACAGCAATGAATGGGAAGTTCTATGAGGCAGATTGTTACATTGTTCTGAAGACCTATATAGATGACACCAACAGCATCAACTGGCAGATCTGGTTCTGGATTGGGGAGAAGTCCACTGTAAGAATCTTACATTTCTCTGTATACTAAATGTTTAATGTAGTACTTACTATAAACTTCTTTTTTCCATGGGTCATTAAAAAATGATAATATGACACCCTTTTCTTAATTTTATTCTCAAAGCTATGGATAATCATTGAAATATTCAATAAACCCATGTAATGTCAAACCTCATTATTTCAAACTTGATGGGACCAAGGGAAAAACTTGGAGAAATCCAAGGAGTTATTGAGGTTCAAATACATGTATATGAAAATAGAGGAAATAAAGTTAGGACCTACAGCTTACTTATTTGAGATATCAATATTAGAGATAGATGTACCTAGGTTAACTCTGAATGTGTTTGTTACAGCTGGATAAGAAGGCCTGTTCAGCTATCCATGCAGTAAACCTGAGAAATTTACTGGGAGCTGAGTGTAGGACCATCAGAGAAGAAATGAATGATGAAAGTGATGATTTCTTAGATCTGTTTGAGAATGGAATATCATACATAGAAGGAGGCCGCACAGCCAGTGGATTTTTCACAGTGGAAAATATTGTAAGTATCTTTATATTTAAAACAAATTAATCTGATAGTTTTGTCTATTTCACTTTTTTAGTACTAATGTAACTTAATTTTACGTTAGGTTTATGAACCAAAACTGTACAGAGCATCTGGTGTCAAAAGGATTCACTTGGAAAGGGTAAATAATTTGAACTTTACATTTATAATGAAGTAAATTCATTTGTTCCTGGTACTAAATTTAAAGTGTGTTTTACTGGACTTGTATCGTGAGTATTTACTAGTATATGTAAATTTCTCATAGAACTTAGACTGCATATTTTATTATTGTCATACATTAGAACAATTGATTTTACATGTATATATAATGCCTGTATCAAAACATTTTAGACTGAGCCTGTTCTGTCACATTTGGACCGCCGATATGTCTTCCTGTTTGATGTCGGAATGAGTATATTTGTATGGACAGGAAAGCTGGCCAAAGGAGTAACAAGAACAAAAACCAGGCAAGTTTACAACATTTAATTAAAGTTGTATGTATGTATCTGATACTACTCATACAATTCGAATGACGCACATCTTATATAGATTTCTTTAAGATAACGTTGATACTTACAATATTGTAAATATTTCCCACAGGTTTATTCCATATACCCTGAGGCCAAAGGGTGTATGGAATACAAACGGGGGTAAATCCCCGTACACCCTTGATTGGACCTGGATAACGAATTTATTTCCTATGTGCCCAAATAATTCTTTATAAAACTGTGTATCTACTTATCGATATAAGATTTACTACGTCCTACAATGCATATAGTGACGTCATGTTATTTGCTTTTTATCATAGAATATTTACATTTGCTGATGTCTTTCCTTATATAACAATGCAAATAAAAATGAAATTCAATTTTCAATGACATGCAGTTGGTCACATGATCAGACTTTCTTGCGTATGGAACGCAAACTGCACGAGATATTTGGAAAGTTATGACTGTGACGTCACATGACATCGTAGTAACATTACGTTGCACTTCAAAATCAAAGTCTTAATAATGCCTATATTTCTTTGTAACATGAATGAAAATGTAAAATATATAAGAAATAAGATATCATTTTCTAGAGTTTCATTGGTGTATGACATGAAGTTGGTACGTGATCAAATCTACTATAACGCCCTTTGGGCGTTATAGAATTTGATCACCTGACCGACTTCATGTCATACCCCAATGAAACTCTAAAAATGATATCCTATTTCTTAAGAAACTATACATTGTGACGTCATGTTTTTTACCCCCGGCTGAAGTTGGGTGTACAGAATTTTACACGACTTTGTAACCAATCAAAGCTTGTGTTACAAGCTAGATAATAAATGTTTTTTTAGATTTCTTTATGATAACACTGATACTTACAATGTTATAATTGTTTCCCACAGGTTAATTGCTGAGAAAATAAACAAGAATGAGCGTAAGAACAAAGCTGAGATTTACATGGAGTCACAAGGAGGAGAGTCCAGTGAATTCTGGAAATGTTTGGGAGAAAACCCTACTGCATTTATAGGGGTAAATTCACCAGTCCTTCCATGTACATGAATCTTGAAAATATTCAGGATACCAATACATAAAATATTTCAAAAGATATAAATCCATGTGAATTCCTCAAAAAACTTAATATTAAAGTGCTATTGGATGTGTTGATATGATATGTGGAATAGAAGTGAAGAAAACTGATTTTATACTTTGTAGGAGTGTGTTCCCGATGATTTTGAGCCTGCTGAGCCACACTTGTACAAAGTAGGACTTGGAATGGGATACCTGGAGCTCCCACAAGGTAGTTACAAAACATCAATACAGTAGTTTTATCCCCTGTATATTGAAAGTCTTAATTATCTGCATACAGAGCTCAATGTCAGTGAAATTTAAGGTATGCATGAAGTAGTAAGGGTTCAAGGTTTAAAGTGGAAAAGTAAAAGGGGAGAATTGACAATAGAATTAAGAACATTCTTTAAGCAGTAGCAATGAAAAATGGGGTAAAGTTGGTGAGATGCATTTTTGTAGCATAAAAAAGTGATGTTTAAGTATTGCTATTCAATGAAACCTTTCAAAATAAAATGCAGGTAGTGACTTGAAGAATGACATTTTTTAATAAACAAGCCTTAAATATGTCTTTTTGTTTTCTCTATTTCAGTGGAAATTCCACATAATGTGTTAACTCAGAAATTACTAGACTCCAAAAATGTCTACATACTAGACTGCAAGTCAGATTTGTTTGTTTGGTAAGTACGTATAGTAATAATTTAGTGAAGCAATGGCAGGAGAATCCCATAAAGCAAAGACATTCAATAACATACATGTACATGCACTGAAATGTCTATACATAGAAGCAAATTAATAAATAATTCAAATTCATAGTACATGTAAAAAATTTAAAAGGTAGGTTCTTAGGCCAAAATAAAATTATAGTTTGTTTGGAATTGCCTCCCACCTCATTGAAATGCCCCCTCCTGAAAAAATTTTATTGACCAAAAGTAGGAAGATTTTTTTTTTTATTTAATCAAATTTTTTTCCCATTACATGTATCACATGCACCATACAAAACACTGAAATATAGTGTCAGATCTATGCAAATTGGGTTTCTTTGTTGATGGTAGATACTTTTTTTTTAAGTCAGAAGATGTATTTATACTGTTTGCTGGTATTTTTAACAAAAATTTAAAAATAGTCTTCAATTTAAAAAAAAAAATAATTTCCCTCCCTCCCTCCTGTGTCTGAAACCCTTCAGGCGGCAATTCCAAACTAACAATTTTTTAAGGATGGCCTTATCTGTAATTATGAAATGTATTTTTTTTTAATATGTAGCTGTATCTAGTCTTTGTTCTATTATTTATTGAACATGAACATGTATATTAGGATTGGTAAAAAGTCAACAAGGCTTATTAGAGCCGCTGCCTTAAAATTGTGCCAAGAGTTATGTGCCATGATTGACCGACCAACTTTCTGCTCAGTTACTAGGTGCTTAGAAGGGTAGGTACTCAAATATTTATGTATGATATACACATAACATTTAAACCTGTAGTATGTATATTTTTAAACATATTAATGATAAGTGCCATTTAAATCCTAAAATGATATATGTGAATGTAGATATTGACATGAGCTTGTACTTTATATTTAGGACAGAGCCCCAGATTTTTAAGACAAAGTTTGTAGGCTGGGATGATGTGATTGCTGTAGATTACACAAGAACAGCTGAGTCTGTCATCAGACGTGGAGCAGACATGAAGGTAAGTCAATCAGTACTGAGAGGCTGGAACTACATGATGACAAGTCTCTTAAACATGAAAGTTTGAATTCTGATTGATTATGGTCCATATTTTAGCTTAAGAAAACTTCAAATTAATTGAAACTCTTGAAAAGCAGCAAAACAGTATTATTTATATTTATAATTACCTTACTCAATCCAGGTCATCATGGAGAGAGACAAGATGAAGACTGACCTTTCTGCATTATTTATGCCCAGACAACCCACCATGTCAATGGAAGAAGCAGTAAGTGGAAACATTGGTATTAAAACACATAAGCACTCCATCAGAAAAAAAAAATTGTGAAGAATTTTACTGATCAGGAATATGACTTTCTTGTAGGAATCAATTATGCAGGAATGGAATGAAGATCTTGATTCTATGGAAGCTTTTGTTCTTGAAGGAAAGAAGTTTGTTCGACTTCCTCCAGAAGAATTAGGTAAGAGCACCTTTTGTCCATTTCTGTTCATTGTACACGTCATAATTTTTTTTACCATTTCCTGCAGTACAAGTCATTGATAATAGCATATGAAAAGGATAATTTAGATTGGAATGGGTAATTTTTTAAATTACAATTGTTTGCCAGGAATTTTTCACAATGAGGATTGTTACGTGTTCCTGTGTCGGTACTGGGTTCCCGTGGAGTTACCTGAGGATGCGGATGAGGAGAATGAGGAGGAGGAACTGCCTGAGGAGGACTATAAATGTGTGGTGTACTTCTGGCAGGGCCGCATGGCCTCCAACATGGGCTGGCTGACCTTCACATTCAGGTAGGACATCACTAGTACATACACTCTGTATAAATGTGTGGTGTACTTCTGGCAGGGCCGCATGGCCTCCAACATGGGCTGGCTGACCTTCACATTCAGGTAGGACATCACAAGTACATACACTCTGTATAAATTTGTGGTGGACCCAAGTTTGTAAACTCTGTCATTTCTTTCAATACTTCTTTACAACATATTTTGAAGGCACTTGTATAGCAACGCAAGTTCTTAAACTAGTGTTGTTATATGGAGACAATGCAAATAGAATTTCTGTTTTTAGCTCTACTGGTCAGAGACCAGAAGAGCTTATGCGATAGTAAGGTGTCCGTCGTCCGTCCGTCTGTCTAGCTGTCTGTCTGTCTGTCCGTCTGTCTGTAAACAATTTTTCAAAAGGCTACTCCTCCTACAGTTTTGGTCTGATCTTAATATAACTTAGCACACAAGTAGACTACACTAAGATACATAGAATAGTGCATCGGATTTTGATTTCGATGAACGGTGTTGCCATGGTTACTAAAAATAGAATTTTCTATAAAGTTCCTTTAAAATGCTACTCCTGCTACAAATTTGGTCTGATTTCAATATAACTTGGCACACAAGTAGACTACACTAAGATACATAGAATAGTGCATCGGATTTTGATTTCGATGAACGGTGTTGCCATGGTTACTAAAAATAGAATTTTCTATAAAATTCCTTTAAAATGCTACTCCTGCTACAAATTTGATCTGATTTCAATATAACTTGGCACACAAGTAGACTACACTAAGATACATAGAATAGTGCATCGGATTTTGATTTCGATGAATGGTGTTGCCATGGTTACTAAAAATAGAATTTTCTATAAAATTCCTTTAAAATGCTACTCCTGCTACAAATTTGATCTGATTTCAATATAACTTGGCACACAAGTAGACTACACTAAGATACATAGAATAGTGCATCGGATTATGATTTCGATGAACGGTGTTGCTATGGTTACTTAAAATAGAATTTTCTATAAAATTCCTTTAAAATGCTACTCCTCCCACAAATTTGGTCTGATTTCAATATTACTTGGCACACAAGTAGACTACACTAAGATACATAAAATAGTGCATCGGATTTTCATTTCAATGAATGGTGTTGCCATGGTTACTAAAAATAGAATTTTATGTGAAATTCCTTTAAAACGCTACTCCTCCTACAATTTTGGTCTGATTTCAATATTACTTGGCACACAAGTAGACTACACTAAGATACATAAAATAGTGCATCGGTTTTTGATTTTGATGAACAGTGTTGCCATGGTTACTAAAAATAGAATTTTTGTGAAATTCCTTTAAAACGCTACTCCTCCTACAATTTTGGTCTGATTTCAAAATAACTTGGCACACAAGTAGACTACACTAAGATACATAAAATAGTGCATAGGTTTTTTATGTGATGAACAATGTGCCATGGTTACTAAAAATAGAATTTTCTGTGAAATTCCTTTAAAATGTTACTAAAACAGTTTTGGTCTGATGGCAATGGCTTCTTCTCTCATCCTTTGTTATAAGTACAAACCAGTAGAGCTACAGTCTCGACAGAGACTTCTGGTTTTTTACAGTTTACAAAAGAAATTTGAATCTCTATTTGGGGACAAACTAGAAGTTGTAAGAACCCATCAACAGCAAGAGAATCTCAAATTTCTGTCCCATTTCAAGAGAATGTTTGTCATCAGAAATGGCAAGAGAAAGCTCCCCAATGCTCCAGAGGAGAAACCTTCCACTGAGTTCTTCCACTTACGAGCCAATGGCAGTCCTATTGCCACACGCTGTGTTCAGGTATAGATGATAAACTTTAAGGTGTAATCCAATAAGTACACATATGTATTTAAAGAATAAATCAAAGGTTTTACTTTCATAAAGTATCAGGAGGACATTATAAGCAAATAATTCTCTGCAGCTTGTATATCTTTGACTGTTATACCATGTTATTATACATGTATACTAGTACTTAATTGCTTCCAAAGAAATTTTTTATCCTCAACTTTCTTGCTCTTCTTTCAGATTCAGCCTTGTGCTTCATTCCTAAATCCTAGATTTTGGTAAGAGAGTACTTAATCTTAAATGGTATTATACATGCATAAACATTTTACATGCTCCAATTAAATAAAATGCTATGTTATTGTGTTCATGTATAATAATTCTACATGAAATTTTTCTGCAGCTACATTCTGATGGTGCCTTTTGATAGTCAAGACCTAAAAGGGGTTGTATATGTTTGGATTGGGGGACTGGCTGAACATGAGGATGCAGTGGTGGCAGAAAAAATAGCTTATAAAATGTATCAGGTAAATCAATTGTATCATTTGCCCCCCCCCCCCCAGGAGGTTTTGCAGATATATTTGTAGTCTCGTTTGCAGAGGAAATCGGCTGTCTCCGTAAACTCCGACCAGCAGAGAGTCTGGTAAAGAGTCACATTTTTGTTACCGTATACAATAGGGCGCTATCGTGTTTACATTTTGATGACCTTTTTTTGAAACGAATATTTAACATGTTTATTCTGATAGATTGTGAGTTTATATTAATAAACTAATCTTTAAATTTGTACATAAAACGAGTAATTACAATATCAATAGAGGAAATATGTATTCCGCAGGTAGCTACACTACTTTCACTTTAGCTTTCAGAAATAAAAAAATGCAAGACAAATTATAAAACACACTTACCTATAACCCATTGACAATTAAACAATAAAATCAAATCTGCTTTAACTTTTAGACATTCAACTTTTAAAACTTTAAGTTAGATTTACCATGTATTTGTTTAAATTGTATATTTAGCCAATCAAAAACTATACCAGAATTTTTTTTTTGGCGTTACAAACGATATCACGTATTTTTCGCATATTTTGTGATCATTTTTAATTCACAAAATGTCAAACACACATATATATATTTCAGGAAATGCTTTTTAATATTGATAATTACAGGACAAAACAATACAAATGATAAGTTAGGAACCAAGAATGTCTTCAATCGTAAAAAAACCTTATGACAAGGTAAAATAGACTTCTTTTAATACAAGTCTTTATAACTTGCATTTAATTCAACATAAAGGAATATTATTGCAAAATAGACAGGTTATAAAATTTAAAAAGTTAAAATAGTACAATGTATTCACAGATACCAAATATAATTCAAAGTTTTATGGTTGTTTTTGTTTACAGGATGCTAACTACATGAAGTTTGCAAGGTTGTTCAGATGTTCCAATGAGAAGGGATACTTTTCTGTGTCAGAGAAATGTGCTGATTTTTGTCAGGTAAAAATCCCAGTTTTAAAAGAAGATCTTGTACATGTATAAACTCAAAACTAACAAATAGAAAACAATGTGTACCTGTTTGTGCTGCAGGATGATCTGGCAGATGATGATGTGATGATTCTGGACAATGGAGAACAAGTCTTCCTCTGGGTGGGCAGGAAAACAAGTGATGTGGAAATCAAGTTAGCCTTCAAAAGTGCACAGGTACTAATGCAATAATCAGTCTTTTAAAAATGTTTTAGTAATGAAAAATATTGAAGGCTTATGCGATGAAAATGCGTCCGGCGTCCGTCCGTCTGTCCGTCTGTCTGTAAACAATTTTTCAAAATGCTACTCCTCCTACAGTTTTGGTCTAATTTCAATATAACTTGGCACACAAGTAGACTACACTAAGATACATAATTCTGTATATCCATTTTTGATTTCGATGAACGGTGTTGCCATATTTACTAAAAATAGAAATTTCTGTGAAATTCTTTCAAAATGCTACTCCTCCTACAGTTTTGGTCTGATTTCAGTATAACCTGGCACACAAGTAGACTACTAAGATACATAATTCTGTGTATCGGTTTTTGATTTCGATGAACGGTGTTGCCGTGGTTACTAAAAATAGAAATTTCTGTGAAAATCTTTCAAAATGCTACTCCTCCTACAGTTTTGGTCTGATTTCAGTATAACTTGGCACACAAGTAGACTACACTAAGATACATAATTCTGTGTATCGGTTTTTGATTTCGATGAACGGTGTTGCCGTGGTTACTAAAAATAGAAATTTCTGTGAAATTCTTTCAAAATGCTACTCCTCCTACAGATTTGGTCTGATTTCAGTATGACTTGGCATGCAAGTAGACTACATTATGATACGTAATTCTGTTTATCGGTTTTTGATTTCAATGAACGGTGTTGCCGTGGTTTCTAAAAATAGAAATTTTTGTGAAATTCTTTCAAAATGCTACTCCTCCTACAGTTTTGGTCTGATTTCAGTATAACTTGGAACACAAGTAGACTACACTAAGATACATAATTCTATATATCCGTTTTTGATTTCGATGAACGGTGTTGCCGTGGTTTCTAAAAATAGAAATTTTTGTGAAATTCTTTCAAAATGCTACTCCTCCTACAGTTTTGGTCTGATTTCAGTATAACTTGGCACGGAAGTAGACTACACTAAGATACATAATTCTGTGTATCGGTTTTTTTTGCAAGGATATATGTTATATGGTTATTGAAAATAGAAATTTCTGTGAAATTCTTTCAAAATGCTACTCCTCCTACAGTTTTGGTCTGATTTCAGTATAACTTGGCACACAAGTAGACTACACTATAGAACATAAAGAGACTTTATCAACAATCATTTTTCTATTTAGTTTCAAATCCCAGCTGCTTAAGTACTTTTCTCTTCCTTTGCTATAAGTTCAAACCAGTAGAGCTTCAGTCTCGACAGAGACTTCTGGTTATTAAATGCTATACATGTAGTAATAAAAGATATTAAATGGTTTTGTTAGTGAAAAGGGTTCCAATAATTCTGCTCTTTCTAGCTTGGTTGACGAGTAAACCTACATGTATTTTTAAATTGAGGGTGCCTGTTGATGTTTGCCTTGACCTTAAGTTTGGTTGCTAGTAAATTTCAAACATGTCCTTCTGTGGACTATTCCATGCCATTTAACTTCAAGCAGTTACATTAGATTAAACAACCATTCCAGCAGACTTAGACCATTAGAAAGTAAACAATGGTCACAGATCAGTTTTTGGCTAACGATGGTCATTACCAATATCTATTGCAACTGTTAATAAAATGTCATCCAATGTCTTGTATACCATGATTTATGTTTCTCTTATATCTAAGACTGTGAATTAATAAAAGATCTGCAGGGCATGTTTTATTCTTCTTTAATTTATTTCCATCCTAGGACATTTAGGACTGACCTTAACATAATAACAAAGCAGAATCATAATTCTAAATTAACGTTTTACTCTTTACTGGTTTGAAGTGATTTCTTCCTTGTATCAAGGCATGAATAACGTGTAAAACTTTCTGTAGATATTATTAGTTATCCAGGTTCAATAAAGGGTGTAAGAAAAATTTACCCGGGTTTTATATACACCCTGAGGCCGCAGGCCGAAGGGTGATAATGCTAAGATTACCTCTGTTGGAAGAAGGGAACTACTACCCCTTACTCTTCTTTCAGAAAAGGTAACATCTTTTTAAACTAAGTGATATACATGTATTTCCTTTGTAAAAATAAAAAAAGCTTTGTAAACATCAGAGTGTGTCTCATTTATCGATTGATAACTACGTACTGAGAATGTATGCATTGTGACGTCACGTTTTATTTACACCCGGCTCAATATCGGGAAAAAAATATTTACAAAAACTTTGTAACCAACAAAGCCATGTTAGTCATTTTTGAAGGAAATAATGAAATCTCCTCTGAATTATATAATGTACATAAAAAATTATTTTCTCTTCTTCTCAGGTTTATATTCAGCATTTACGGAATAAACAACCTGACAGGCCCCGCAAATTGTTACTAGCCATGAAGTACAAGGAACACAGAAAATTCACCAAATGTTTCCATGGCTGGGGAAAGTACAAAGAAGTCATGGAATAAATCATTTATGCTTGACCTCTTCTTTTGACTATGCTAGACCAGTTAACTTAGTGCAATATGTTTTTAACTTGGGAGTGTTTGTGGAACATGTGAATGAGTGGTGTGTGTTTTAAATTTCTACCATTGCAACACAATATTCTTCATAGCAATTATAAAAATTAATTTGCCTATATTTAAATGCACTTACATACATTATTATCCAGTGAACAAGTCTTTCAAAATGATTGTGTAATTTCTATTCCTATTTACATTCATGTCAGTATAAATTGCACAATAAATCCTATCTAACATATTATTGTTTGGTATTTCTTGGTCTTTTCTCTGCAATGATTTTTAATTCAGCATTGTCATTAGAGTTAAAGAAAAATGTACCAGGAATCTACTTTATATAATACAGATACATGTACTAAATGATAATGCTAAGATTACCTCTGTTGGAAGAAGGGAACTACTACCCCTTACTTTTCTTTCAGAAAAGACAACACCTTTTTATACTAAGTGATATATTACTGAAAAATCTAAAACTAGAGGTATGACGATGGAACAAGAATGTCCCAGCTAGGGATCAAGTTTGTTGAAATCATGGCCCCAAGGAAAGGGTGGGACCACAATGGTGGATCAAAGTTTAACATAGGATATATAGGGAAAAAATCTTTGAAAAATTTCTTTTAGAGAATAACAAAGCCATGATTAGTGTGTGTTTGTTTTGCTTAGGAAATAGTGTAGATCTCAATTTTCTAAAATCATAGTAACAATATTTTGCAGATACACAATGGAAGATAATTTTTTTTTACAAAGGAATATATAGGGTAAAATTAAATTTTTGTGAAAGTGTAGAGGATTTGTATATTAATATGGCAGCAAAAAAAGTTAAAAATTTTAATAACTTTTAAAATGAAATAAGATTTTTTTTTTTTGTGTGAAATGTGAAAATATATACTTTTTTTCAATTTCTAGAATCAAGCAACACAATATTCTTCATAGCAATTATATTTAATATCTACATTTAAGTTATATACAGTATTATGAAAACAATCAGTTGTCAGGATTTTGTTTCAAGTCCGTGAAATTGGGCCATATTGTTCCTCATTTGGCACAACAACTGGAAAGAAGTCTGGAGTCCTGCTAATGTGTTGTTAATTTCACTCAACAAACTTTCCTGAAATAGATATTCATTAAAAGTTTAAACAGCTTTCAATATTGAATGTGTACTCAAGTTGGGTATAAATACCCAAATTAATTCATGCAGTAAAATCCATTAATGTACACTGTATTTCTTTTGAGAAAGAGCTGCAAGTCTTTCTATAATGGAGAGTAATGGTAAAATAAATAGAGAGTATGTTCTTGAAAACTTTCAATGGTTCAGAAAAATCTTACCATTTGCCCATCACTGAAGGACAAGGATTTAACCCATGTGATATTTTCCAAGTGTGTGTTGAGATCTGCTAGGACTGGGGCTACCTGGGGGAAAAGTTCTGCTGCATACCTGTCCAAATATAAGATAAAATGTAAATATTTTTAACAGACACAGTCATACCTCATTATCTCTAACTCTATAGGATCGAGAAATAAGTTTGAGATATCTAAGGATTCATATCCTTAGGCCATATCCTTAACATCAGATGGCCTGACACCATATCAAACAACAGCCTATGGGAGAGAACCAACCAAAATCCTATATACATTGACATCAATAAGAGAAAATGGGGCTGGATAGGACACACCTTACGCAAACCCTCAAACAACACCACCAAACAAGCTCTGGATTGGATTCCACAAGGAAAGAGAAGGGTTGGGAGACCAAAGCAAACCTGGAGAAGATCTGTAGAAATGGAAGCAAAAGAAGTTGTATTTACCTGGACCCAACTAAAAAGGATAGCCAAAAACAGAGTCTGATGGTGCGGTGTGGTTGCGGCCCTATGCTCCCCAAGGAGTGAACAGGAATAAGTCAAGTAGAGAGGGTTCTTAAAGAAAATGTGGTTGGGACTTCCAAATCACTTTGATATATCCATTTTATGTTGGAGATACTGAAGTTCAACTGTATTTCACATCATACTATAAACTGGTGTATATGTTTCAAGATTCTTTTTAATACTATTTAATCTTTTATTCATTTAAATTGAAATACTGTATTTATAAACTGTGTGATTTTAAACATTTACATCCTTATTAAACTTGCAGGCAAAATAACAAATAATCTGAAGAAAATCGCAATACTTTTCTTTCAACATTTTATAAACAACAATTCAAAATGTTCCAAATTTGGACAAATAATATTAGGGTGTACCTGTGATACTGTGCTTCAATTTTTACAAAGTCACCAACAAATGGTTGTTGAAGTCGAGTTTTTAACTGACTTTTACTGTCGATTATGGATTGCATGTGACCATTCAAACTTTGTATGTTCTTTATTCTTTTCTCTGAAATAAAATTGCAGATTTTTTACATAACATAACTCAAGGGTGTGTATTTAAACTACAACCATAAAGTACTGTTAAAACTAATGGAATTTTTTTAATTATACATACTTATAATATAACAAAGGGTTACAATCCTCTTAAACAATGTTTTATTCCAGAACACAGCTTCTCAAACAATGTACTGGGATACATGTATTCATATGCTGTTCACAATACAATTAACATAAATGACTACCCTTGACCTCTGACCATTTTGCCCCTACAATTGGATAAGCTTCTACATTTGGCACAAGGTATTTCTGTAGAATGTATGACACTGGTACATGTATTAAGTCAAATGATATGCTTTTTTCCCAATTCTATTTACACATCATTGACTTTGACTATTGACCCTGAAATTAGTTTCTTCATTCAAATGATACTTTCTAAAATTTTATATATGTCTAGGTAAACATATCCAAGTCTTTGACCTTGACCATTGGACAACTTCCAAATGTAAAGCCCTGTGTCACTTTTACCTGGTAATCTATTATACACTTGCAGGCAATTGCAGCAAGTTAAAGATTGACTTTGTACAAATCAAAACATTGTTAAAAAATCCCAATATTTTTTTTAACCTAAACACTCAAATAAAAAGAAATGTTTTTATCACAAAAATTCTAGTTCTTAGCGAGAAGGAAATGAGAAATTGACTACCAGTAGTATACATCATGTACATTGTTAAGGATTTATATTAACTTTGGCCTTAAACTTTAGACCATAGGTAGTTGAATAGATGTATTCCTCAGCTCTGCTCATTTCCACTTCTTTTACAAGTCATAGACATAATGGTACTCTGGTTATTGTGTCTACACTAGGCCTACCCATTAAAAGAAAATACCTGACTATAACTGTGACCTTTGGTCTTTTGACCCTCAAATACATTTGTATGCTACGAGAGGATAAAATAATGTTACTGTACCCCTTGTGTCCAGATGAGTTATATCACTAGTCTCTCTGTCCTGCATCCTCTTTTGGATTTCCAAATCAACCTATGAATCAACAAATCAGTCAGATTAAATCATACTTTTGTAAGAATCAAGAAAAGTTTGAAAAGAATAAAATATTCAAATAAAAAAATCTGTTTACATATGGTGTTTCTCAGTTCTCACCATCTTGGTGATACATTATAATGAATGAGTATTGTTAGGACTGGGCATTCACATTACCTGTAAATGAACCCCAGTTCTTTGCTACAATACACTGTACCTGATGAAGTTCCTTCTGAATTTTTGTAATCTCCTTAAGTAAGGCTATCACTGCCAACGATGCCGTTGAACTCTTCAATTTTTCTTCTTTATTCTTTTAACAAGATGAAAAATTTTATTAATTCTATTTTTTGGTTTCAGAGAAACATCATATTTATTAATTTAAATGCTAGCTTTTAGGTTTATTTCTCTTATATTTTCCAAAAGAAATTTATTTAGCATTATAATAAAAATCTTCTGCAAAAATTTTCTACAGAGAAAATATTGCTTTAATTTACCAACTCTTACATTAGAACCCATTTCATACAAGTTTCTTGGGAACAATTTTAAATTTGGGCAAACTAAGAAAGGATCAAAACAAAACTTAGAAATATGCTGTAAATTTTCGTTAAAATGGTCAGAGGCATATTGGATACAAAACATTCTTTTGCACTGTCTATTTTGTAGACAGGATGAATAAGACTACTACATCTTGAGCTCTATTTGTCCATCAACGCCCATGTGTTGAACAGGTTATGTAGTCCAAATGATAATGAAATCCAGAACAGGTTATGATTATCATACCCTAAATGGTTTCTTAAAATATCCCATACAGGTTATTTAACTGAAATTTTCCTTGTAAGTATATTCAGATGCACATCTTTTTTAAGAAATAAGGTACAAGTATCATTTTTAAACATCAATCTAGATAAAAATTTGGGTTCACCGTTGGTCATGCGTTCCAATTTCATCACACACAAACCTTATTACTCATTATGAGTGTATGACATATTTACTTTTGTGACTTCATTACGACATATATTTGCTTGAGGATAATCTTAATAATAATAGTAATAGTGAGTGCAGAGAGCGTTGCGACGCTCATCACTGCGAGCTCTTAAAGCAACACCTGGGCGAAGAGAAAATTCAGACTATTGCACATTCATTCGTCAGATTTTTGTTCCTCAGTAACTCTGGACCCAAATGCATCACTTGTTAAAGTATGTTCTAGCAGCAAAAATTAAATTAAAAGTTATCATGCCTTGATTTAATTGATAAATATTGAAAATAAATAGTAAAAGAAACGTTCTTCCTTTCTCTCAGCACTGTTCAGGCTTCTTTTTGGTAATGTAAACTTACATATGACGTCATGTGACGTCAGATTCGAGACACATCAAATGGCACGTGCAACTTGATGAGCCCAGTCTAAACTATAATAAAAGAAATATCTACGCTTGCCATAATGGTAGCACTGTCAACATATTATTTAACACATGAAATGCTTTATTTCTCAAAACTAAACAGCACAAGTTTGAAGACTTAAATGATTCAACTGAATTTGAAACATTTTTTTTAGACATTAAAAGTTTAAAAAACTATCCCTCTGCACTCTCACTTCTCTCATTTTTCATGGACATTTTGTTGATTACTAGGGGAATTCTGTTGAATTAAAAAGTATTCCGATGTAGTGCTGACAGAGTATTTAATCTATTGAAGGGTGCAAGACCGATCAAAACTATAATAAAAGAAATATCTACGCTCGCCATAATGGTAGCATCGTCAACATATTATTTAACACATGAAATGTTTTATTTCTCAAAACTAAACAGCACAAGTTTGAAGACTTAAATGATCCAACTGAAATTGTAACATTTTTTTTAGACATTTATTAAATGTTTAAAGAACTATCCCTCTGCACTTCCACTTCTCTCATTTTTCATGGACATTTTGTTGATTACTAGGGGAATTCTGTTGAATTAAAAGTATTCCGATGTAGCACTGACAGAGTATTTAATCTATTGAAGGGTGCAAGACTGAGGAAGAATATTCAAAACATATTTTTTACAAGATGATCAAGTAGACAAATAGATATCTAGTTGTATTGGACAAAACAGTACCTTTTGTACATAACCCAACTTCTCTGCTAATTTTAAAACATTCAGCAATGGAGACAGAGCAGAATCGGCGTCACTCCATGGATTTTGCTCACCAACTCTTGTAATACTGTCAAGATCCATGTTGTTGATGTAAATTTTAAATTTACCTCCAAACACTAAAGAGCTTCACGTCTTTTTCACTAAATGACGAAATCGGTGAATCATGGGAGAGTTAAATAAAATAATAATAAAATGCAAGCAATAATATTTTCTTGTTTTCTTTCTTAAGTTTTATTTAATTATCAAATAACATTGAAATATAATTCTTTTTAAACTCCTGGACATACGAATGAATAATTCAACAATGTTGAGGATATATTGTTTCGCTATTTAGTCATTTCATAGCGCGGATGAATAAATTGAAATATATTCAGTAAATTTTAGCAAATATAGCTTAAATAAAAGTAATTTAGATTCTTGAGTGTATTTAAATATTAAAAGAAATCTTTCAGGAATTTCACATCAATTTGTCCTTGTCTCTATTCAAAAATCGATTAGAGTGCGGACTTATGCCAATGAACACGTTGTTCGGTCATTCACACTGACGTGTTGGAAAAAAAGTTTATTCTTAAAGTAAGCTGTTTTCGTGTTTGTATTTGCTTGATGTACATTTATGAAAAGTTAAAATTAAGGATACATTTAAATGTTATGATTATGCTCGTTTGATCATTTCCTGTTATAATTTAAACGTGGGCCTTGCATTTTTTTTAAGGCCCTAATGATGTAATGTGAATATATTCTATGAATGTTTTTATACGCCTGACTTAAGATGGAATGCATTCTGGTTTGGCTATTATGTTCGTTTATCTGTCCATTTATCAGTCTATGTGGCTGTCTCGCTCTGTTAGGTTTTTTCTTGTCCGTCAGACGTCTAACCCACAGGAGCTTGTTTCATACAATAGGCTATTTTTTATACTATATAATAACACAGCGCCTGTGGTCTAACCTTAAAATTTAATTACTATATCAGTATACAAGGCCTAGAATATTAACAGCATCTTGGTTCATATATTGCAAGATTTGTAACCGGTAACACAGGTTACATAACCTTTTCACTGGGGAACTTAAAATTTTCATTTATTCCGTTTTTAATTGGTTACAGTGGTTACAACGAGCATTTTTTCATTTATTCAGTAATTTGTACATTGGTTACCTCAATGTCTACAAGATCCCACTTGGAATAAAGATGATCTGTAACCAATGTAACCGATTGTCACCAAAGAAATATAGCTGTAACCAATGTAACCTAGAAATAAAGACCCCTTAAAAATATAATTGTAACCATTGTAACCAAATGTCACCGATGAAATATACACATGTAGTAGTAACTAATGTAATTTAAAAAATAAGAACCCTTTTGGTTTTAGGTAATCTGTAACCACTGTAACCATTTACCACCGAAGAAATATACAATGTAGCTGTAATCAATGTAACTCAAAAATACAGGCCCTTCTACACCAGCATCCTTTAATTGAGAGAGATACACTGTATATGTAACCTTTGTTACTAGATAAAATAGCCCTGTAACAGGGTTACAAATGAAAATAGGTAAAAGTCAGTATCATTATGTGTCTTACATGTATTAAAGTAGGTTGCTTTGACCTTTAATTTAGATGATATGGCCAAGCATTTGACAAAATTCTTGTCCGACTCATAACTGGGAAACGGTTTGACCTAGAATCCTAATTTAGTTCTAGTTTGTCACATCCTACCTACAGGTCTCTTTAATTTATTTTAGGTCAAATTTAAAAAATATATATAGATGTGTTTAAGTTAAACAATCCTTAGTAAGAGTGGATGATATGGCCAAATATGGCAAAATCCTGTCCAGCTTATAACTGGAAAGCTGTTGAACCTAGAATCATCAATACTATCAGTAGATGTAATTGGTTTAAAATAAAATATTTGTTGGGTGGAACAGATAGAAACTGAAGTGGGCCTGTAGCATGTGAATTTGTGGAATCAAGAAAATGGAAATATAAGGAATAATTAACTCTCTGATTTTTTGGTTTAGTGATGATGATAAACCGATAGGCTTGCATGATAATTTTATGCATTTGCATTTATGCAAATTATCATACAAGCCAATTGATTGATCACATCATGAAATAAAAAAATTGACAATTATTCCCTAAATATAAAGAGTATATATTTTTGTGTCAATACCAAAAAAGTTCTACATATCTTATGACTGAAAATAAAAAGCAAAGGTATTTCTACAACCACTTTGTTATGAGAATTATAGTTGTCCATTTTTCCCATGTACTACTTTATGTTATTTTCTTTTTATGTTATGAAACACTATATAAATGAAGCTAAAATATATTTAGGAATGTCTGAAAAAAGAGACTTGACACAGAATCCTTTTGCGGCATTGTTTACCAGTGTGGAAGATGCAGAACAGTACAGTGCACAGTCTTTGGGAACACAAAGTGAAACTCCAAAAGGTTTCTAGATATGATCTATATGTAGACTTCTAAATTTTAGGAGCCACTTGGCAATATAGCATGTAGCTAGAATGTTAAGTTATTAGAATTACACATCTCTGATATTTTATATACAGTCAAATTTCTTTTATATATAGAACTCAGTGGAACCAAGATGACAGATGGTTGCATTTACATTTTACCACATAATCAAAAACTATTTACCAGGTTAATGATCAATTCAAGTAGTTCAATTTTGAATGTCACTTATCATTTTGAAAACATCCTGTACAAAAAATAGTTTGATTTGGAACCTTTTTCTAAAAATCCGACTGGAGGACAGTTGCCCATTCTGGAAATTATATTTTGGCATTACATGTAATATTGCTGTTTTTATCAATCTCTCTCTCTCTCTAACATAACTAATATAGTAAATCAATATTGCATATTTGTATCAGGAATACGTGATTGGTTTAAGCATTGTAGAAAAATGCATCACTAAAAAAGCATAATTATCCCTGATTAATTATTAATTATATACTGATTTTTGTAATAATTACAGAGAATGAAGACAAGGAAGAGGATGATACTCAGAGAAAAATGGCCATAAATTGGATGATAGAGAATGTTTTTCTCATCACATTAGACAAAGGTGAAAATTCAGGACATTTTGTCTTCAAGATATGTAACTTTTGAAAAAAATATAGAAGAAATTTGGAATGTAATAATGCAAAAGTTTTTGCATACAAAGTTTGTATTGATTTGATTAAAATGAATTGTAGAAGTTCATCCTTATGAAGATAGACCATCCAGGTGTGTTTTTATGTCGGAGATGTATGACACACTGGAGGGTCAGACATGGTGGGAGATGGACAATCTAGAACAGGTAAATGAATGATTATTTGTGTCATTTTTTATTTAAGATCGGTCAGTTTAAAATCAATCTGTGACAATTTATTTTTTACAACTAAAAAAACATTCGATACAAAAACAAAGCAAATAAGTGGTTCACAATAATTAATATTCCTGAGTTACTTAAAAGTAGTTTGCCATGACAGCGGATATTTCTTGCACATGAATAAAAAATTGGTTTATAGTAAATTAAACCATTAAAGATTAGACAATCTTTGTCCCCATCAAGATTTATATGCATATCCTTTGCTGACTGAATATATTAACCTAGTTTATATGTATTCCAAAAATATCAAAAATGCCAAGCACAGGAATTTATAAATTTCACAAATGACTATGCCATATGACAAGCAAGATTTTATATAGCATAGATTTGATTTCAACTGATACTTTATCTTTCAACATAGGCTGTGTTTGAGAGACTACTTTTACCTAATCCGGGGGCAGATGTGGTTAATCTGAGTAACAAGGATGACCTAAATGCTGCTTCTTTGGCAGGAGAGTCAGAAGTTCTGAGATACTTGTACCAGTGTTATAAAAGGCAACAAAATCTTCTTTCAAAGGCATGTTTTTAATCTTTTTAAAAAAATTTAAAGAATTTTCAAGAAAATTTTGATATTTCAAAATGTACTATGAGTAAAATTTGATTAAAGAATAATATGATGATACATGTGTATTGATGTAAACATTTTATATCATTTTAGAAAAGAGACCTTTCCAGTGAGCTGGCAGCTTGTTGTGATGTCATTCTGATGAATGCCAGGATCTGTCTGCAGCAGGATGAACTTTATCCTTCCCAGGTTCCTTTGCGACAACTTGTTGACCTATATGAGGAAGAGGCATGTTTCACACTGAGTAAGAAATAGAAGATATTTAATGTAAACTGATGTTTAATACACAGATATGGATGCAAAGTATTAAAACACATGATGATGTAATAGAAAAACCAAAAATATTTTCAATTTCTATATATAAGGTGTAGATATTGTAAAATGTGTTTTTTTGTACAGGTTCAGAAGGTGACCTTTACCTCCATTTTTTTGATGACCTTGTCCAGCAGATAGAGGACAATGCGGAAGATGGGTCCGTTTCCCAGGTTTTTAGGCCGCTCCTAGAACTCACCAAGCACAATCTATTGAAAGAATTTTCCCTCCTCAGCCCAGGGGTCATCAAAGCTATTGATTTTCTCATCTTCTTCACCAGGAAAGCAAGTTTAGCTGAGGTAGCTGCTAAAATAGAACTCTGTCCAAAACAAAATATAGTCTTACTGCAAAAACAGTGACTAAAATGTCAAACTGGGTTTTTTTGCATGCAACGTATGACATGTTTCACATGTTTGACTTAATTACTCTAAATTACAAACACATCCAAAATATGTTTTGTAGGTTTTTATAGAGCATTCCTCACCCAAAGACTGGAAGAAAGGCCGAGACTTTCAGAGCACGCTGTTAGGCATGGTCTTCACCCTGAGCTGTATACCTCAGATGGAGCTTGGGCCATACGAGTTCTTCGAAAATCCTTCCACCAGGACAAAGCAAGATATTGAAGCTACTGAATCTAGTATACAGCAGGTCAGTGGATATCCAACATCATGGTTTTCAGTTTCATCAAGTTATTGCACTTTCAGTCAAAATATTCATTATATGTCTGTTGAATAGAAAGAGCTTATATGTACCGTCACCACTGGAAACCTATAAAAGTGTTTACATTGCTTTATTTTAAAGTGCTTGGTGAGCAACATTTTTCAAAATTTATTTTAAATGTGTGCTAAACATAGTTGTTTGTAAATTGTGCTTTAAAAAACAAAACTAAAACTGAGATTCATCAAATGTAGTCCTCTTTTTTTAGCCCCTAGCCAACATGTGTGAAAAAGTGTACCAGTTACTATTTGCGATCATTAAGCTCTCCCCCGAATTACGTCACAAAGTCTTGCAGTGGCTGGGGAAGTGTATTCACGCCAATCTGGGAAGAACAAAGATTTGGTCCTCTCAGATGCCCCAGCTGTTTACACAGATGTACGCCTCGGAGGGGTTCTGCCTCAACCTGTGCTCTATCATGCTCAGACTTTGTAAACCGTTCTCTGAACCGAAATCTGCCAAGCTGCTGAAAGTCCAGCCCACTTACTGTAGGATGGTGGCAGCCAATGAGAAAGAGGCAAAGGAGAGAGGGATACACACTGAAGGTGAGTTAAGAATGCTTGCAGAGTGATCCATTGTCACTTTAAATGGATAACCCTGTAGAATTATGGCCATCATTAATTTAAAGCACAGATGAGACAATTGCTTTGAGATGTCTCTTCAAGTATTGTTTTACAAATTAATGATTTCGAAGAAGGAAGTGTATTAATCATTCATTTTAGTCCCTAAATTCAAAGAAAATTGTGTAATCCAGCAATATATCAAAGTTGAGTTTAAAACCTTTTTTAAACTTTCATCTCAGAAAAAAATATGTTAAAGGTAATTAGTTCACTGTAGCTTTAATAACGTTGAGTTTATTTACAAAAAAATCAAGATTCAGACTTAAAGCAATATGAGTGTATCTCTTAGAATTTTATTTTGCTGGGAAAATGTGCAATTCTGATTAGTTTGTTCGTAATTTAAACCCTTATGACCAATAAGCCCAAAATAAAGTTTAAAAATGTTTCAGAAGAAATATTTCTGTACAACCTAATATATTGTTCAAAATAAGAAATCATTATTGTACAGGATGACAATAATTCAATTTTCCTTCAATTAAAGCTAATAAAAAAGAATTTCCATTAAAAATATGAACAACAGAAGTTGATAAATGATTTATTTTTCTGTCATTAAATTAGTTAATTACAAATTTGCAATAAAAATTTCCGATGTCAAACATGCAGCTCATATTGCTTTAACATGACTTTGAGTGGTTGTTCTTCATTTCGAAAATATAGAGAGCATTTGTCAGCATTTTTCCAGCAAGAACACTTTTGAATATCATATAATGCAGTAGATTCTGACATATTTTTTGCAACATGAGATATTAATTTATGCTACATGTCTGTATGGTGGCACTGATTTTCCACAGAAATATATGTGTTTCATCCAATAGTTTTTGCATTCAAGTGTATAAAGTTAGCTTTTGACATTGAACAATTTTAGAGACTGCTGTATTTTTGTTGTGTCAGGGACTGTACCATTGGTCCTTAGGTTTTCTAATTCGAAATTTAAGAAACTAAATTGGGCTTATTTACATTTTAGGACTTTCAAAGGAGTCTTGTTTAGTTCCAAAGGAAGAAAATGAGAGCATTTCAACAGATGAGAATTATAATTTCATCACGGAGTGTTTTTTCATGACTCATCAATGTATTTATATGAGTTTTCATACTGTACATGAAAAATTTCTCAAACTAAATCAAGAACTTCATAGAGTGCAAAGGTTATACAATGAGGTCAGGGGTCAAGGCAATGATGAAGTTGAACCAGTACGCAGTATAAAAAGACAAATGGAAAAAGGTGATTTCTTTTTCTTACCAATTTATGAGATTTTTTAATAAGAAAAAAAACCCTCCACTTTTGTAAACAATTGCACAAAATAGCAAGACATGCTGAAATTTATTGAGTTTCCATTTTAATGTTATGTACATGTAATTATGTGGTTTTAATGTAAACAAATGTTTTTTTAAAGGAATGACTCTATACCTTTGTATGAAAGCTGCATTAACAGAGCCAAGGTTGTTAGAAATGTCCTTGAACTTTCACCTTGCTACAGCCACATGGCTTTCAGAAATTGCTATAAATGAAGACTGTCAAACTTTTGAGCCTGTGAAATTTCCGCTGCCTAAAACTGTTCCTACAGTTTTGACATGTGTGCCAGAATTTATCATGGGGAATGTCACCGATTTTACACTTTTTCTTCAGAGATTTAAAGAAGATATGTATGAGGTAATGATTTTCTACTTATTACATGTATAATAAAAAACTGAATTGAATGTCTTGAAGGAATTTTCTGTAAGTTTTTAATTGTATGTTAACCTCAGTGTGGAAGTAATATGAGATCAAAGTTGCCCCCTCTCTCTCTAGAATATATTGTGATAGATATTTGTACATGTACATATATACAAGAATTATAATGAAAAAGAATATACTTGTTACACTCACATCATCAGTCTCTTGTTTTGCTTTGCAGATGGCCGGAGATAAGTTGGAGCACTTTATGACCCTGATCCTGGTTTACATGGGGAGCCCTGAGAGGATGAGGAATCCTCACCTGAGGGCAGAGCTGGCCGAGACCCTAGCCTCCCTCCTCCCGGCAGAGTCGGGCTCCTCATCAAAGGGTATCCTGTCTTGGTAAAAATAGTTTACATACTCTCAGTTAATTAGATGTTTGTAAAGATACATAGGGCAAGGACTAGACTTCTCCACTTCTCTCTATCTTGATCATTTTTCTCCAGTTCTTCCCAAGTCAGTTTGTTGTCTGTCATTTAGCTTGATGTTGTAAAGTCACTTAAATGTATAAAAGACATTGTTCACTTTTCTCATATGCCAAAATAACATATGAAAATAAGAGGTTCAGGGGTAGACATTAACTTTTATTTCCACTTGTCCTTCGGGCAAGTTAACTACAATTTTGACTTGCCCGAATGCAAAATTTGGTTGCCCAAAATTTTTTAAGAAAAAAACCAGTTATTGTACCTTAATTAGTTGTAAATATAAAAGTTGACAAATTAATCTCTATTTTGAAGTTAACTGTCGGAAAAAAATGTTGATATGATGGTGATGCTACATTTGTAAATGTACATGTATGTAAAACACTTTCTTGTCATTTAACTATCCTGAAAACACACAGAGTACTGCAGGAATATTATTTTCTTACGATTTTTGTTTGAAATTGTAATTTTTCCTCTAAAAAGCTGAGGTGAAGCCAGAAGGAAGAGAGTTGTTATGTTTTGAATCAAGATACATTGTGCACCCGTGAATAATTGGCGTTCTTCATATAATTCCTTAATTGGGTAGAGAAAGTATTCTGTAATCTCTATTTCATAATAAGACTGTAACGTAAGTTGTCAGACAGATAATCGTATTTTTTAAACTACGAAAGAAAACAGAAAAACGAACCCGATTTCTGAATAAAGGTAAGATCCAGAAACGCTACCGAGGGATTCCGAATGCAATAACAATGTCCCGTTTTTGGCGGAAATCAAGTGTTTAATTTATTTTGTTGTTTAGAAACTTATGTGAGATTGAAAATAATATTTCTATCAGAAATATCCACTTGCCCGATCGGACAAGTACATTGATAGTTTCACTTGCCCGAACTGAGAATTTACTTGTCCCGGGCAATCGGACAACCGTTAATGTCAATCCCTGAGGTTAGTGAAACAGAGTTTTCAAAGTTAACTATTGCATTCACATTTGAATTACTTTTGGAAATGTTTTATCAAATTTGCAACAACAACAAAAATGTCATCCCTTCATTCTTTTACAGGTTTTCCCGAGAACAGCTGTTTGTGAAGCACCCACTGATAGAACATCTAGCTGAGAAGCTTCTGAATGTCTTTGTCAGTATCGAGATGACTGGACAAAGTGTACAGTTTGAACAGAAGTTTAATTATAGGAGACCCATGTACATGGTTCTCGAACACATATGGGAGATAACTCTTCATAGAAAGTGTATTAAAGTAAGTAAACAGATTTTCCATGTCAATTACCTTATGTTTCATTTTTATTTTTTGTCTGGGGAAAGAAAAATAAAATTCTTCCTTTTTATTTATCTCCCACTTAAAACAAAGCTATCTCACAGTATGACTCCTCAAAAATAGAATGCCAACTCCATGCATGAGATAGCCATAGAATTCTATATCAGGTTTATTCTTCTAACATTGATTATTTACTTCAGAAACTGGCTGAGGAGGCTGAGGAGAGAATTGAGGACACTGATCCTCCATTGTTCCTTCGTTTTATCAATCTCCTCATCAATGATGCTATATTCCTCCTAGATGAAGCTTTTGATGTAAGTAAGCCTTTTGCTGAAAATGAAGAAAACTTATAATTTACACCTTAGCTTCTAAATATACTGCATAACTGAAGAGTTCCACATAAGTCAAATCATTAATGATTGTAATGAGAAGTAAATGAAAAATGATCTGTTATGTTTGATTAGTGTTGATGAAAATAAATTTGATTTCAATTTAGTCTTTAAATTTTAATAGAGTGAATTGCTTAATTTTTCCCTCTTGCTTATTTAAGAATATACATGTATTTGAAAATTAAGTTATTTGTTACAGTACATGACCCAAATCAAGGACAAGCAGGCAGAGAAAGACCGAGGAGACTGGAACAGCCTGGATCAGCAGCAGCGGCAGGAGAACGAGAACACACTGCGCCAGACCACCATGCTGGCCCGCTACCATAACATGATGGGGAACTACACCATCCACGCCCTGGAACTGATCACCAGGGAGATCAAATCCATCTTCTGTCATAGCTCCATGGTAGACAGAATAGCTGGCATGCTCAACTACTTTCTTCAGCATCTGGTGAGTCATTGTTTTAGCTGTTACATCATTAAACAAGATGTGTTTTTGAAGCACTATGTGTCTGCGGTAACAAAGTTTGAAAAAAGTTATGTTTAGCATATATGTCACAGTCAAAGTCACAAGGTCATTGACCTTGGTGTCATTTGAAAGAGCTTGATTAATGGAGTACGCATATCAAATAGGAAGTCTTTATCTCCTATGGTTCAAAAGTTATTGCAAAGGTACAAAAAAGCTATTTTTAGCATACAGGCCACAGCCAAGGTACAAGGTCATTTACATTGGTGTCATTTGAAAAAACTTAATTAGTGGAGTATGCATACCAAATATGAAGTCTCTATCTCTCATGGTTCAAAAGTTATGGAGAAGGTTCAAGAAAGCTATTTTTAGCAAACAGGTCACAGTCAAGGTCAAAAGGTCATTGACCTTGGTGTCATTTGAAAGAGCTTAATTAGTGGAGTATCATACCAAATATGAAGTATCTATATTTCATGGTTCAAAAGTTAATGGCAAAGTTTGCAGACAAAAAAACTATTTTTAGCATATAGGTCACAAGGTCAATGACCTTGGTGTCATTTGAAAGAACTTAATTAGTGTATTATGCATACCAAATATGAAGTATCTATATTTCATGGTTCAAAAGTTATGGTGAAGGTTAAAGTTTGCAGACAAAAAGCTATTTTTAGCATATAGGTCATTCAAGTTGGTTCAGATCATACCCTCTACCCTTTAAGGATTGGTTGGGACCACTTTTGGTTAAAACTTTTCATTGATAAAATGATTTTTGCTTTTTTCCTAGATACAGTGCTCAGGTTTAACAAACACTTCTTGTTTTGCTTTGTTTTTATAAACAATGTTTCCTTATTCGTGGAAAATAATTGTTGCAGATTTATTTCAAACTAACAAATCTCGAATAAAAGATGACATGAATAATAGCTGGTTTACCATATTTCAAAATTCATGGGTATGTTGAAGTCATTTGGAATTCCCAAACCCACATTCTTGTACTATTTTACCCTGGATGTTTCTCGAATGCTCAGATATTTTGATGTTTTTTTTTTCTCTTTAGAGATGAAGAGGTTTTGACTGTACTTTATTTCTCAAGATTCAACATGTGCTGCATGAAAAGACAAAGTTCAAATTCAGTGTATAATATATTTCTATTTTACGTATTCAGGTGGGTCCTAAACAGAGAAATTTCAATGTTAGAGACAAGAATGAGATTGAGTTTAAACCTCAGCAGATGGTGTCAGACATTACACAGATTTATTTAAATCTTGGAGATAATGAGGCCTTCTGTATGGCTGTGTCAGCTGACGGCAGATCTTACTCTCCAGAACTCTTTGAAAAAACCACAGGTGTGTTACAGAAAATTGGAAAATCGCCTACCATGATCAGCCAAGTGGATTCTCTTAGGGATAAAATAGAGGTATGTAATGAGAAAAACAGGAAGAAGAGATAAAGTCCTGATATTTCAGTAGAAGTATATACATGTACACTGTAATGTTAATTTGCATGAATGAATTTTAAAATTTATGAAATTAAGTATTGAAATTATGAAGTACAGTGTAGATTTTTATCTATATCAAATATGAATTTTAAGTGTAACTTTTTTTGTACATGTATTATAGGCTCTTCGAGAACAACAAGCAGAGGATGAATTGCTGTATTCTGATGCCCCTGAGGAATTTTTGGATCCCATCATGGGGACTCTAATGAGAGACCCTGTCTTTTTACCCTCCTCTAAAAATATTGTGGATAGAGCAATTATTGCCAGGCATATCTTAAGGTATAAGACTTTTTTTTTCAATGATATTAAAAATACTAGTGCTTATAGGAAAATCTATATAATGCCATTTTATTTGGCCAAACATTGAATAATACTTAATGATCTTTGACTGAAATGGACACATAATTTTTAAAATACATGTATCATAAAAATATCCAAGTATTACCAGGTGATGAGTATTTTATGATTGTAAGGATTCTTGTTTTGTTAAGAATTTGTAAAGGACAAAGAAAACAAATGATTTTTAGAACAATGACCAAATACCTGTACTTGATCTTATGAAATCTTGCTTATTTTTATTTATCAATCTGTGTTTTTTTTACCAGTGATCAGACAGACCCCTTCAACCGATCCCCTCTCTCCCTAGACATGGTCATTCCTGATGTTGAACTGAAAAAAAGGATAGATGCCTGGATTCAGGAGAAGAAAAAATCTTCATGACAAACACCAAGCAGTTCATTCTGTGTGAACATGAAGTGTGTATGTATTTACAAACAGAATAAAGTTTTATTTCTCCAGACACTGCGTACAGAAAGGAAGCAATATCTGGAAATTCATTTATCAAATTACTATTGATGTGAGACAACAGAGAAAGATTTGATTGCCTTACACTTTACTGAAAGTGTTTAAAACATGTTTATACATTACACTGCTTTATCTGTGATGGCTTAGCCAACATTAAAATGTTAGCATGTGTCAGATTTGTATGAAAGTGCCAAGAGTTTTTGATATTCCAAAAACAGTTTTTAAGTTTATTGTGGACTTACAGGGTTGTAAACTATAAAAAGAAAATTTCACTGGATTCATTTGCCATTGAGATCTTGGTAAGCTATGTTATAGATGGCAAAAATGATGAACTTCCTCTGTGGGATTTATCTATTCTACATTCATATAAATTTATATATACAAAGTATATTTGTAACAATAGGAATGTGGTTTTATAAGTGCATATTTTATTAACTGGTAAGACAGTTTGTATGATATAATGCATACTATGATATCAACAAAGCATACTGTTGTCAGACCTCATCATTCATGTAGATGTGGTAAATCTTATCTATTCTCTATTCAAATATTACTAATTATATGTATGTGGCAATAGGACGGCTTTTAACAAGTGCATATTTTTTTTATAACAGGGAAGCATATTCTTGTATGACTAAATATAAAACCACTGTAATTTTAGTTCAAGTAAAATTATAATGATTATTTGTTATCCTCTTTCTGTTTACAGTAAAATAAATTACATTTACAGCCGTTGTCTTCGTTCCCTATAACATTCACTTAGGTAGCACTATATTTTCTATAAAACCGTTTCTACTTAAAAGTGCCATTCTTTCCTTAAATATTGAATAAAATGATTCTTTCTCTATTTTTTCCCCTATAGATAAGAATAAATTGTTTGAAATGTATACAGGCACATTCAAGGGATTTGTAAATGCATGCAGCTATAGATAGTATGATATAACATCTAAGTTTTTGATTATTCTAAGAAAATATATAGCTCACTCGAACCAAAGGCTAAGGTGAGTTTTTCTGCAATCAGCATGATGTTTGTAAGTTGTAAGTAAACTTTTCAAATTGTAACACCTGGCTGGCCCCGGGATCATAAAACAATATAAGGTAAAGTTAAAATCTCTCATTAAAATGTAAGAGAAGTCAAGATGTTCGAAATTATAATAAAGGATCAGTAAAAAAGGACTTGTAACCTATAAATAAAACAAATTATAAACTACGATCATCATTTTGACCATGTCCAATTATATGTATCAGGGCAATGAAACACCCTCTGGTTATAATCACGAGCCTCCGTAAGTTTTTCAATGGATAGTTAAATATTTTATGTCTACAACTCTAAAGTAAAATGACATTGTTTAGACAGGGTATTGTCACTCATTTGGTTTAAGTCATACATTTATGGTCAAATAAAAACGTTTGTGTTGTTTGCTTGAACATAGGTTTAAACAAGAGATGTTTGTAAAACACTTATGCCCCCCCCCCCCCCAAATTGAAATTTTTCAAAGTCCAAGGGGCACAACCCTGTTAAAAATGGCGCGGTCGTACCCAAAACAGAACTTGACCTAGATATTCATCTGATAAATCTGTATACTAAGGGATTTCACATCAGTATGTGCAACCTCTGCGAAGAAAACTAGAGGTACTGTGAGCGATGAGCTCACTAAATGATACCCCCCGCCTCCATATAGTTATAATGGCAAAGTCCATGTTTTGGTGTGGCCGTGAAACCCAAAATATGTGTCGGATCAAAAAGTAAAATAGGAGGTGCACAATGGCAATATGTAATAAAGATTCTGTGAAAGTTTCATCAAATTTTATTCAGTGGTATGAGAGGAGTTGCGGATAAGAGATAGGTTCCCCAAAGCGTAACAGACGGACGGACGGAAGGACGGAATTAACGATTACTATATATCCTCCCGCTTTTCAAGCGGGGGGTATAATGAACGGAAACTGCAAATAATTGGAATTTTTCTAAGTCCAAGGGGCATAACTCTGTCCAAAATGGCGCAATCGTACTCAAAACAGAAGTTGACCTAGATATTCTTCTGATATATCTGCATACCAAATTTCATTTCAGTACGTGCAATGGTTGTGAAGAAAATGAACGGAAACTAAGTGGACCGACAGACCGACCAACAGATAGCAGCAAAGCAATTTACCCTCCCTTCTTCGAAGGGGGGCATAAAAACACTAACAAAACAAAAGATTTAACATTTGACATTGGCGTCGGAAGCAAATTGAAAGTGGGGGGGCTAAGTGTAAGAAAAAATTTTTTTGTACCTCCAAAAAAACCTGACAAGCAAAAAAAAAAAAGGAAATGTCTATTTCCCAAACATGAAAATCCTATTTCGTGGGGGGGGGGGGGGGGGGGTAGGTTCGAACTTCAGTACCAAAAATTTCTCCTAAACACCAACACTTTTCCCAATTTTAAACTATACTAAGACGTATCTGTGGAAAGTGGGGGGGCTAAACTTACGAAGATATGTTCAATGTCTATACTAAGTATATATTTGGAAAGAAAGTGGGGGGGGGGGCTAAGCCCCCCCTAGCCCCCCCCCCCCCGGTTCCGACGCCTATGTTTGAAAAAGATATACATTGTACAGTAGGGGGTAGAAATGTTTATTTTTAGCTCACCTCAACGAAGTTGGGGGGAGCTTATGTGATACCCTCGGTGTCGGTGTCGGCGTCGGCGTCCCGGGTTAAGGTTAAGTTTTTTGGAGCAGTTTTCTTTTTAAGTACTTCTATGTCCTATATTGATTAGACATGCATGGAAGATGTTTCTAATGTGTTTCATTGTACCCGTCAAAGTTTCAGATGCTGCAATTTCAGCAAAGGAATGACCAGGTGAATGTTTTTGGTGAAGGTTAACATTTTTGGTGCAGTTTTTGGTGTAGGTCTCATTTCCATGTAACTATAAGCCCTATGTTTACCAAACTTACATGGATGGTACATCTTAGGATGCATACTACCAGACTTGCTTCGGATGCTGAATCTGACCTACATTTTCCGGTTGAGTGAACAGGTTAAAGTTTTTGGTGCAGGTTTCATTTCCAAGTTTCTGTGAGACATATAATGACCAAACTTGCAAGGATGGTACATCTTAGGATGCATTCTACTAGACTTGCTTCGGACGCTGAATCTGACCTACATTTTCCGGTTGAGTGAACAGGTTAAAGTTTTTGGTGCAGGATTCATTTCCAAGTTACTATGAGACATATAATGACCAAACTTGCATGGATGGTACATCTTAGGATGCATATTACAAGACTTGCTTCGGATGCTGAATCTGACCTACATTTTCCGGTTGAGTGAACAGGTTAAAATTTTTGGTGCAGGTTTATTTCCAAGGTACTATGAACCCTATAATGACTAAACTTGCCTGGATGGTACATCTTAGGATGCATACTACCAGACTTGCTTCGGATGCTGAATCTGACCTACATTTTCCGGTTGAGTAAACAGGTTAAAGTTTATGGTGCAGGATTCATTTCCAAGTAACTTTGAGCCCTATAATGACCAAACTTGCATGGATGGTACATCTAAGGGTGCATTCTACTAGGCTGGCTTCAGAAGCTGAATCTGACCTACATTTTCCGGATTAGTGAAAAGGTTAGTTTTTTATACAGGTTTCATTTCCAAGTAACTTTGAGCTCTATGTTGAACAAACTTGCATGGATGATACATCTTAGGATGAACACTAATGGACTTGCTTCAGATGCTGAATTCGACATACATTTTCCAGATAATAGACCTCGTAAAAGTTATGGGTGCAGGTCTATCACCAAGAAACTATAAGGCTTATATAAACCAAAGTTGCACAAATGATGCATCGAGGGATGAAAACTCTCGATCTTGCTTCAGATGCTGGATTTTAATTACATTTTCATGATGAAGAACTAGTTTTAAGTTTTTATATAGGTCTATTCCAAAGTATCAAAATTGTATAAATTTTGCATTTTTGGATGTACACTTTTGTGACTTGATTTGCCTTACTTAAAGACAACATTCGTTGAGGTGAGCTCTGTAATCTCTGATTATCTATGTTTTAAGATTTTGGAATATATTTATTTTGCTAAACACTGTTTAGAGTCTTAAAAAACTGGGCGCGAACGTTTTCAAAACTAGAGCCTAATAAAAATTACAGACACAAATACAGGTGTCAGTACAGTAAAACTTGGATATCATGAACTCACTTATAATGAAAATATGGGTCAAAAGGAAATTTTTACGAACCCCTTTAAAGATGTTCCCAACATTTTTTTATACAGATATACAAGAAATTCGTCTATAAAGAAGCAAATTTTGATGTTCCAGTGGCTTCTTTTCATTTTAGAATTTTCAAATGAATATGGAAATTGTAGCACACAGTTTCTTTGGTCGTAATAATAGATCAAAGACAAAATATTGACGTATTTTAATATACACGTACATGTATTTAAGATAACCTAAGGTTTTTAGCTCACCTGAGCCAAAGGCTCAAGTGAGCTTTTCTGATCACATTTTGTCCGTCGTCCGTCCGTCCGTCTGTCTGTCCGTCCGTCCGTCCGTCTGTCTGTCCGTCCGTCTGTAAACTTTTCACATTTTCGACTTCTCAAGAACCAATGGGCCAATTTTAACCAAACTTGGTACAAAGCATCCTTGGGTGAAGGGGAGTTTAAATTATTAAAAGGAAGGGCCAAGTCCCTTCACAAGGGGAGATAATCAAGAAAAGACAAAAATAGGGTGGGGTCACTTAAAAATCTTCTTCTCAAGAACCACCGGGCCTCAAAAGCTGAAACTTATATGGAATCATCCTGGGGTAGTGTAGATATTAAATTCTTAAAATCATGACCCCCGGGGGTAGGGCGGGGCCACAATAGGGAATCCAAGTTTTACATAGAAATATATAGAACAAATCTTTAAAAATCTTCTTCTCAAGAACCACTGGGTCAGGAAAGCTGAAACTTATGTGGAAGCATCCTGGGGTAGTGTAGATTCTAAAGTTTTCAAATCATAAAAGGGAAGGGGGTAGTGGGGCATGATAGGACTGTAGCAAGAGGGGGAATCTGGTAAAGAACTGCATCTCCCAAGTTACACAGGTGAGCGATGTGGCCCATGGGCCTCTTGTTCTTTTTTTATTTTCACCAAATGAAAGTACACAATTTTATCAATTTTTATTTCACGAAAAAACCCTTGCTTGTTTCAAAATTGATTCATTACGCTAAAAAGATTCTTTTTCATTTATCTTTAAAATTATTACTTTTTCTGACAATTCCCTTTCCTTTATCTAGGTATCACTGCGGCAAGTGTAAACATTGCCAATTTTGTAGAGAAGGTATCACAACGTTCCTGTAGAATGCTTATAACACTCGATCACTAGTGTATCAATTTTAATATCATCATGCAACAATTATAACATTTGAGCATCTGAAGTTCATTCGCGAATTATGGAGTACGGAATGATGTTCAATGGGACCCGGTCGAAACCATATATTTAAGTTGTTTCACTGTGGCATGGATTCCAACAGCTGGATGTATTCCGATATGTACCGAACATATTGACCTAACGCAGCCAGGGCAACCGTTGTTCTGTGACACAGGCATCCGTGATCCAGGGGGCGCTCCTCTCGCTTCCGGCGAATATTTACTCCAGGACGTAGTTCTACAAAGAGACAACAGAAGTAAAATTCCACTGGTTAATTTTTAGCTCGACTGGTCAGAGACCAGAAGAGCTTTGCGATAGTAAGGTGTCCGTCGTCCGTCCGTCTGTCTGTAAACAGTTTTTCAAAATGCTACTCCTCCTACAGTTTTGGTCTGATTTCAATATAACTTGGCACATAAGTAAACTACACTAAGATACATAATTTTGTTTACCGGTTTTTGATTTCGATGAATGGTGTTGTCATGGTTACTTAAAATAGAAATTCTTTTGAAATATTTTCAAATGCTACTCCGCCTACAATTTTGGTCTGATGTCAATATGTACACTATACTAAGATATCGTTTTTTTATTTCTATGAGCGGTGTTGCAATTGTTACTAAAAATAGAAATTTGATTGAAATATTTACAAAATGCTACTCCTCCTGTAGTTTTGGTCTGATTTCAATAAATCTTGCCAAGAAAATGACTAAACCAATGATCAATTTTAATTTTTTTCTAATGCAAAGTTTCAAGTTTAAATGCTACTTTTCTCTTCCTTCGTTATTAGTATAAACCAGTAGAGCTACAGTCTCGTCAGTGACTTCTGGTTTTTTAAAATGACAAGTCAGTAAAACCCTTTCCCCCCAATGACTTACTCTCTATTAGTATATGGCAATTAGTTTGTCTCACTTGATTTTCCAATTATTTCTTTTACACACTTGCAGTAACTGAGCATTGTTTGGTCTACGAGCCTACCTCATTGAGTTAAAGATCTATTTGAATTTTGATCTATTTCATTGATTTTGATGATACTGATTGTGATCTTTGGACTTCATAGAGCCTTAGTATTCATAATACTTCATATTGGTATTAGCGACTTGAACAGCAGCTACAAAGAGCTACGATCTTGAACTACATTCTAGCCTTGCTACTACGCAAGGAAAGCTTGATGTTAATGAGGGTACCGATTCTAAGATAGTCTCCTATGGCATCGCTATAGAATTTTATAAAAATTGCAGTTGGGTTGTTTTCCCCCAACTTAGCAAATTAAATATAAAATTAGACGTACATGGTATTCATTCAGTTCACTTTCTTCCAAAAAGTAGTTACACCTTATAAGTTTATAAGTCTAGATATTCGTATCCCAAATTTAACATCTTTCAGCTAATCGAACCGTCAGTCCAATACGCACTTTTGAACTGAAATAAAAGTACCCCGGCAGTAATGTTCTTTGTCTTTCATAACAAAGATTGTTATCTGAAAATGACGGCACTGTCGGTCTATGGATCGTTTTTGTTCCAATGATTTAGAATGGATCAAGCGAAATAAAAAGCTTGATTCACAGAAATTTGTCAGATATCGTTGCATAATTATGTTTTATCTTATTCTAACAAATATCTGAATCCTTTAATAAAAGCAGTATTTTGTGGTATGAAATCTATAATTAAAAAAACATGAAACGAGAAATATGATATATTGACAACGACGACTATTTGACAATTCATTTGTTGGTCTTTTTTTGCGATTAAGTACAGTTATGATTTCTAATTTCAAACATTAAAGATCAAATTCACAAAATGTCTCTTGTTTTGTTCTCCTTAGAATAACGATGATCAGAAAGCACTTATAGACCTAAATACGCACATGAAAACGCAGATTTAAAAAAAAGAAAAGCACCAAGCTCGATAAATCAAAGTCGGAAAATCTGAAGACATGTTTACACCCTTTGTGTTAACAGCTGATCTGCACGAAATATGGTGAACAAAAATTTACACATTTTGATTTTCATATTAGATTTGTCATGAAATAACCCAATTATGAATATATTGTCGCGTTTTTAACCAGTTCACTCATAAATTATTTATTACAGAACGTGTCTGAAAAATTGTCACACAATATGAAGTGCAGATTTTTTCATCTATTATGGCATTTTTCTCGCAAATGTGGAAGAATTTAATTTTTTCTAACTTCTTGGAAATTCTTTCAGAATATATGTCAACTAGTGCTAATTGTAACGGGGACCGTTACAGATGTTCCCCAAACGCTCCCCAACTCCCTTTTGGTGCCATATTCCCTGTAAGCTTCATTAAATAGGACAAAATCTATGCATTTGAAACTTTAACAACGCCAAGTTCATTCAGATTTTAGCATTGCACGCGTGCGCATGTGAATGCATGTGCATAATGACCATATCATCTTGTCTACACAATCTATACATTTTAATATACTAAATATTAAAGTATTTAATCCAAAAGTATTTAAAATACGTTCATTCAAGTGTATTTTTGATTTAACTCATTTCACGTGCACTCACGTGCATACATGAACATGGTGTCCATATCTTCTTGTAGACGTCTATTATATCTCTCTATATTCTAAATCCCACTCCGTTTGGTTGAAAACCAAACAGCTATAGCTGTTTAAAGTTTCAGCCAATCAGATTACAGCGCAAGTACACGCATTGTATGCATGTGCATGACGACCATATCATGTTGTAGAAGTTCATTATATCTATCTATGTTCCAAATCCCATACTGTTTGGTTGAAAACCAAGGGAGTTATAGCTATTTAAAGTTTAAGCCAATCAGATTGCAGCGCACGTGCATGCATGTGATTTTATGAAAAATGCTATATATCAAGTTGTAGGATATATTAATGCATGGCTATGTTCAAAATTTCATAGGATTTCGTCGAAAAACAAGAAAGATATAGAGACTTTAGTTTCAGCCAATCAGAGCAAAGCGCACGTGCATGCGCGTGAGATCTTGCTATTTTGACCATATCGTCATATCTATACTACTAATAAATAATCAAATTATGAGTTTCAAAGCATTTCATCAAAAAATAAAAAAGTAACGGCTATATCTATTATATTGGTCATTTCACGTGTTGCACGCGCACGCTCTTGCAAGCACGTGCGCGCAAAATGACCTTGATTCCACAAATCTGCATAACATGTCTACTGACCCTAAAAAGGTTTTACCTACATCGGTTGAACAGTTTACAAGATCACTCCCGGACAAAAAAGTACCCAGGAAGAAGAAGAAGAATAATAATAACTAGTGCTAATTGTAACGGGGACCGTTACAGATGTTCCCCAAACGCTCCCCAACTCCTTTTTGGTGCCATATTCCCTGTAAGCTTCATTAAATAAGACAAACTCTGTGCTTTTGACTTTAACAACGTTTTCTCAGAAGTATACCAATTATATTCAAATTTTAGCATTGCATCCGTCGCATGTGAATGCATGTGCGTTATGATCATATCATCTTGTCTACACTATCTACATATTTTAATATACAATATATTAAAGCATTCAGTCCAAAAGTATGAAAAATCACTCTTTCAAGTGTATTTTTCATTTCACTCGTTCCAAATGCACGCACGTGCGTGCACGTGCATGATGACCATACCTTCTTGTAGGAGTCCCTTACATCTATCTATAATCTAAATCAAATCCTGTTTGGTTGAAAAACAAGGGAGTTATAGTCATTTCAAGTTTAAGCCAATCAGATTGCAGCACACGTGCATGCGCATGATTTCATGATTTTTTTTCTATATCTTATTGTAGGATATCCTAATGCATGACAATGTTTTAAATTTCAAAGCATTTCGTCAAAAACAAAGTAGATATAGCCATTTAAAGTTTCAACCAATCAGATTGCAGCACGCGGGCATGCGCATGCTTTCATGAAAATTCTTATATATCATGCTGTAGATCTTCATAATGTAGGTCTATGTTCAAAATTTCAAAGGATTATGACAAGAAACAAGAAAGATATTGAGACTTTAGTTTCAGCCAATCAGAGAGAAGCGCACGTGCATGCGCGTGAGATCTTACTTTTTTGACCATGTCATTTTGTCTACGCTTCTAATATATACTTATAAAATGAGTTTCAAAGCATTTCATCAATAATTTTAATAGTTACGTCTGTATCAATTATATTGGACATTTCTCGTGTTGCACGTGCGAACTCTTGCAAGCACATGTGCATGCACATGCTTTCATGAAAAATCTTATATTACAGGCTGTAGATCTCCCTAATGTAAGACTATGTTCAAAATTTCAAATGATTTTATCAAAAAACAAAAAAGATATTAAGACTTTAGTTTCAGCCAATCAGAGCGAAGCACACGTGCATGCGCGTGCGATCTTGCTATTTTGACCATGTCATCTTGTGCATACTACTAATATATCCTTACATTATAAGTTTCAAAACATTTCGTCAAAAAATAGAGAAGTTACGGTTATATCCATTATATATTGGTCATTTTAAGTTTTGCACGTGCGCGCTCTTGCAAGCACGTGCGCGCAAAATGACCTTGATTCCGCAAATCTACATAACATGCCTACTTACCCTAAAAAGGTTTCACCTAAGTCGGATGTGTAGTTTACAAGATCACTCGCGGACAAAATTTTCCCAGGAAGAAAAATAATAAGAATAATAATAATAAGAAACAGAGTAAAAACAATATGTTCCCCAACTTCGTTTGGGGAACATAATAAGAAACAGAGTAAAAACAATATGTTCCCCAACTTCGTTTGGGGAACATAATTAAAGCAAATTCCTTTAAACAATAAAGTGCCACGCCACAGCATGATACGCCCGTCAAAAAATTACAATTATCTTAAACAATTAAAAGTGCAAGAAAATCATGTCAACCTTGATTTTAAGATTTCCATGATTTTTCGACTCCTTAAAAAATGTGTTTATCCATCTCCTGTGGTGTAGGCATTAATTATAACATATACTGCATCATTCATAGATTTCTATACTGGTTGTGTTAGACCTTGCCAAATGCCTATCATATTAAACAATATCAAATTAGTCTTAACAACTTAGTCTATACCTAATTAATTTTGAAAATAAAAGGCTGGCCATCAAATATAAACTGACCAACAGTTCTTCTGTCTAATTCCCAAAGGATGCACTGTCAGTTAATTAGGATAATGCTCTGAAGAAATGATTGAGACAACTATAGCCTTGCTACACTGAACACATTAATTAATCTTTAACTGA